CAGCCCTCTTTAAGCAGATGAGGACTCAGAAACTCCCCTAAAAGGAGATTTCCCCTAAGGAATTGCAGGATTTCTTTTCCTCTGCAAAGAGGAAAAAGTATGCCCTTATTGGAGTTTCTGTGATTTATAAAGAGGAATTCATAAACCTTTACCTCAAGCAGAGCAGATGAAAATATGTTTTTATTGCTGGGAGATCTTGATCAAATTTAGGAAAAGACTAACATACTGAAAGATGGGGAACTGTGACAAGGGCAGGAGGACTTTTAGTCAGTATTTTCAAGCTAATGCTTGGTTTCATTAACATCTTTTAGTCTGAAAATCTAGACAGACACCTGGGATCTTTTCTTGAAAGAAAACTTAAGTTTTTGCTGAAGCTGTCATCTCAGCAGTTTGAATTGGTGTGCTAGCTGAAGTTTAAACAAAGATAATAATTCCATTTCTACTGTAAAAATAACAAAATAAAACCCGATGCATATGCAAAACCTAGTCTTCTGAAAAAAAAAAAACAACACCCAACCTTTTAGAATTCCTGAATTTGCAAAATCTGCATACTCTGTTGCATAATACCTTTAACTCTTAGATAAGAATTTCCCAAAGAATATCTCTCAGTACCTTGTTGTCATGATAGACCTGTTAGGGTCAGCAGTATACAGTTCTGTCTGTACCAGAGAGAACTTTTTATTGCCTAATAAAACTAGATTAGCCAAGAGAAATTATTGCAATTCAATGTCTAATACATAGGTATTCGTAGTAGATAACACCTCCATTTACATAGGCAGTGGTCTAATCATATAGCCAAGTTCAGTACTTAAAAGCCAATGGACACAAACAATATGATAAAAGATTTAACGTATCCAATATTAAGTAACTGAATTTGCATTCAAGGTCTATCAAGCTTACCTTTTAACCAACTTAAACAATAGCAAGTGACAAAGACTAGAAAATCACCCACTCAGCAGCAAATAATTCTGACTTAGTAACAAATCCAGTGTAGATCCTCCTGGCCTTCTCTTTTGGAGGCTTTACAGAGGACATTGGTAGGCATTTGTAAGGATTTACAGTGATAATAAGGAAAAAAACCCCAAAACACATAACTGACAGTAATCTGTCAGTTTTCAGGAAGGAGGGGTGTTTGCCATGGAGACACAGTAGCAGCTGCCCTGCTTGGCTACCTGTCACAGACATGTCTGGCAGTTCACTTAGTTGCACAGTGAAGGAGCAAAGTGACAGATGAAGATCAAACCAGTGGTGATTGGAGTTAATTCCCTTTATCTCTTCTGTGGATATCCCCAACTCCAAATATAAAAGCACAATGACCTACAAAAAAGATTTGATTTGTGTCGAAGGATTAAGAGACTTTTTTGACCAGAGTACTGGATTATTCAGTGATTCTTTAAATAATTTAAAAGCCTGTGGGCAAAACCAATCTGCAAAGAGTTTCTACCTAACTACACAGTTGTTACAGGAGAAAATCAGGACACTAACTGCACCTACAGAAACTACTGACACTGACCAGCCTCACCCAGGGCATGCACACACTGCTTGTGAACACAGGGTCTCAATTTCTCCTCAGCCCTAGACCCTCAGATACCTTGCCATACGTTCAGCTGCAAACTAGTCTGGCCCTGTGATCTGGATAGACCTCAAACGTACACACTTAGGTAGTTATTGTCCTGGACTGGTCTCTCAGATGTCCATTGCCCACTATCTTTAGCCCTGTCTCCTGAATGGACTTCAGAATCAAGATTAAACTTTGTCTGTTGTCCTCTCTCTGGTGTCATCTGCTTTTGCTCCTGACTGGAGACTCTGAATGAACCTGGCTCATCTCTTGCCTGGGACTGCCAATGGATCGACCACCAGTACCTGGCTTACCCTGCCATGAGTAGATCATGTGGGACCCCTGGAGTCACCCCTTACTCCTGGAACACCTGGTCTGAGAGAACAGCGGGACCTTGGTGATTCCAGAGGAAATGGAGAAAACACACTAGCACCTAGTACCATAAAAACCTTCAGACACTTGCTTTCTTCAGCCATTTGCTCACACAAGAAATCCCATCCAGACGGACCTGGGTAGGCTTGAGAGGTGGACTTGTGCGAGTCTCATGAAGTTCAACAAGGCCAAGTGCAAGGTCCTGCACCTGGATCAGGGAAATCTGAACCACAAATACAGGCTGGGTGGAAAATGGATTGAGAGCAGCCCTGAGGAGAAGGACTTGCGGACATTGGTGGACAAGAAGTTGTGTTGTTTGTTATGTAATGACAGCTGTAGTACTTTTCAAGTCTTACTCGAAGCAAAGAATCATGATGTTACAGATTAAACATTTACTGAACAGAAAAAAACCTGTGATAAAGATGCCTCAAATTAAAAGGCAGTAATCTTTACAGTATAAACCCATAAGCAGGAACAACCATGGCGATGGTAATTTAAACAGCAAAAAATTTTTCTTCTGTTGAGGAGTTTTTACAGAACAAATCTTGCATCAGGACAGAAATCAGCAATGATTTGTGCATGATTTGTTTTGTTTCACTTGTAATAGCTTTCACAGTATGAGTGTTTTTCTTTACTTTAAGGAGTAATAGATAGAGAATGAAGGATTATAATACACCTGCTTTTGAATAATAAGCTGTTATATTTATTCCACTAACAATTTACCTGGGTTCAGTGGTCAGCTGAATAAATTTGGGAAAAAAGTTAAGGACTACTGAATGCAGAAATCCCAGGATGATAACTAATGGTAGAAGTACTGCAGACTGGTATCAGTACATCATTTTGTCCTACTCATGTTCCTCCTTAGGTAGCTGTAACTGGCCAGTATCAGAAATAGGTTATTATTATATATAACAATGTAATCTGACCCAATCTCTGTGTTCTGTGATACTGTGGTGCAGAGGCATATCAGCTGGTGTAGACTTTCAGCTGTGGGTTATGGAAGGGAACTGAAGTGAATCTTAAAATGATGCAACAAAATTTTTTTATTGTGGTAGTCTAAAATTTAAAGAGAGTGCAGAATGATAGTTCCAACACCACCCATGAACTTTGTAGTATTAGAACTGTAATAGAGTTTTTAACTAAATCACAACTGGAGTCAAGTTATTCTACAAAGCGAAATAATATTGGTGTTAAAAAGAGTACATATACCATGTTACTTTAATTTAAAAGGTATAAGGCACTTCTCTTGAGAGTCTTGTGCTTTATTTTACAAACCTGACATCCCTAGCAGCTGTGTAGCAACTCACATGGTCAGCTCATCAGGCCAAGACATACGCATCTCTGAGCTTTGCAGAAATCGCTGTAATAATAGCAAGACACAGTTTTGCAATACTGTCCTCTCTTCCAGGAAACCTCCTTCTTTCTGCTGATGTACATGCTGAAATGAAAACAATCGTTTTTGTTGGCCACGTACTTTTAAGTGATAGGTTTCTTTGAAGCTACAAGATTAGCTAGGTTTTGTTGGTTTGACATCACAGCACTGTTCACATTTGATATCATTTTGAGTTTCGTTTTTTATTGCCTCTCTTGTTCAAGATTGCCATGTGCTTGTTAAGGCCATACTACAGTTTTTAGCAGCAGCTAAAGAACTGGCTAACTGATCAAGCACAGTTTAATAAGCCAGGCTTGTATCCTTACCACAGCGATTGCACACAGCCTATGCTAAGGTGAAGTCTGTGCTGAGTTTCTGAATAAGAAAGTATTAACAAACCACTCTAGATGTGGTGCTACCCAGAAGAAGTTGGCATCCCTTGACATTACTTCATAGTTCACTGGATCATCTCTCCAGTCTTCCTACTCCAAAGCATAGTTTTCAAGTTGAACTAAAACTGGGGTTACTTCTGAAAGAGGAAGAATTGTGGATAGGCAATACATGGTTTGGGATGCTTAGGATGCTTCTGTTTTTCCTCCAGACTTCACTTCCTATAACACTACAGGCAACTGTAAAACTGATCTCCCATTAAAAAGTTACCATTTCAAGCAAACTGACTGTAATGGCTTATCTTTTGTGAAATATCATACAAATATTACCTGCCAGAGAAAAGGGATAAATTTTTATGAACACTTATTACTTGGTCACATTCTGCAAGAATATTTGGACAAAACCTGCAAATTGTTTCAAACAGATTTGGAATTGCTTTTAAAAGAAATTTATTTCAGTACAAATTCGTAACAGGAATAATTTGTTAATATTGTGGCTTTAATGTATTTTTCTAATATTTCTATTTAACTCTAGTTACATTATCTCAAGAGTCATAGCAAAGTTTTAATTCCTTTCATGTTACTATCATATTTATAAAGAAGCAATAGATATGTATAGAGGAGAGAAACAAAACTTAATTATACTTTAAAAGCAATCTGTTAAAGGAGGTATTGGATTTATATCACAAACCCTTGCAGCAAACAGCTTTGCAGTTTGAAGTGAGCTTCTTCTCGGTTTAGTGTATTAATTTGGGGCTCTCTCATTCTGAAACAAGGGACTTAAGTCATTACTCCAAATACACACTAGTATAAATTGTGAGTAACATTTCCAGCATAATGGAGTAGTTAGGATAACTCAGATTATATCAGAGGAGTAATTCCATGTTTACTACAGGAATAGAGAGTTTCCATGAGTCAGTGATCTTTGCTGCAAAGTAAATTTAGTTTTAGGCTCGGAAGTAGTGATCAGTTATCTCCCTGAATTCAGAAGACATACAGTACATCTGTGCTACAGTTGAGATGAAACCAACATGTATCTTGGGAATATATTTTTTTTCCATTCTTATTCTATTTAAACGTTGATGTAAATACATGTCTTCAACGTGGCTACACTTGGTTCTGTTCATAAATAAAGATACAACTTTGCGACTATGTTGATATCCTCAGAGACACAGAAGTGAAAGTGGGGGAAAAGCGAGTACCAGCTACCTGTCCTCTCGCTAAGAGTAACATCACCAGAAATACTGCAGTTCACAGACACGTACACACAGCAGCAACAGTTGTGGATAGTGAAGTGTTGCTTCTAAAGCTCGCCACTCGAACGCGAGTACACGCTCTGCTGCAGAAACACAGAAACGCTTTTATCCTGTTCGAGGAAGCCTCTTACGGACGACAGCTCTCATTCCCGGGCTAACGTGCCCCCTGGGTGCGCGCAGGGATGCTCGGCTGCCGTCCCGGGGTGGGGCGGGGGTCAGGGCCGTGCTGGGCGGGCGGGCAGGTGGCGGCGGGGCGGGCCGAGCGCGGCACCGCCCCTGGGCCCCATTGGCGCCGGCGGCGGGGGGCGCTCCGCACCGCCCCCCGCACACAAGTGCAGTGCCCGGCGGCGGCGGGGGCTGCGCGGCGGGGCCATGCAGAGCTGCGGGCGCTTCTGGGGGCGGCTGGCGGCCCGCGGGGCCACGGGGCACCTGCGGGCGGCGGCGGCGGGGGCAGCGGCGCTGGGGCGGCGGCGAGGCGGCGCGGTGCATCGAGCAGCTCCTGCCGCGGCACGATGACTTCTCCCGGCGGCACATCGGGCCGCGGGAGCAGGAGAAGCGAGAGATGCTGCGGACCGTCGGGGTGCAGGTAGGCGCCGTGCGGGGCGGGGGGCGGCGCGGCCGGAGCCCTACAGCCCGGGCTGTGCCCAACTAACCACGGCGTTTTCGCCTCTTTGCAGAGCGTCGAGGAGCTGATGGACAAAACCATTCCGGCCAGCATCCGGCTCCGGAGGCCGCTGAGGATGGATGACCATGTCTGTAAGTGACCTCATGGCCCGGGGTGCTCCTGGAGCACCCCCGCACTCCCGCGGCCCCTTCCGGGGGGCCACCAGAGGCCGAGGGTGGGCGATTGGGATGCACACCCCCTTACCCCCTGATGTCCCTGCGAGACGTGTAGAAAGCAGATTTTCTCGCTGAAGTGAATAAGACTTTAATAAGCGTAGCAGCACCATCACCGACACTTCAGTCTTCGGCGACCAACTCGGCAGAGTAATTCAGCAGCTGCCTTTATTGGTCTCCTGTTGAAAATCAGTAGGAAAACGGGTGTAGCAGACAGGGATTGCCCAAAAACCCGTTTTGGAGCTCAAGTGTTACAGAGACTTCTTTTTGTGCCAAGAGCCTGACACCAAGGGAAAAGTGTGACTAAAAATCGTCCCCTTAGCGTGGACCTGTAGCTTCAAATGGTCCACTGTCTTTTGTTAGGACTTATGTGTCTGCAGGATCCGTTATTCCTCCCCCTCCCCAGCAATAACCTGCATATTTTAATAACACTAAAACCCTATGTCTCCGTATTATGGATACACAGTAGACTAATGGCCAGAATTTTGAGTCCATCTGATGAGTCTATCTAGAGGAATAGAAAACATTTGATCCAGCTATTGTGGCACTTCAAAATTCAGTAAATTGCTGCAGAAAACTTGATGTGATTTGATGAGGGTTTAGATATTTATGTTTTTAAAAGGTAGCATGCACAGCACAAAATTTCTACCTCATAACTGTAATCTTGAGAGAGATCTGTGAACATCGTGCTGGAAATCCCATGAGTGAAAGGAGTGCTTAAAAATCCTCCTTGCTAAACAATTCCACTAAAACTAACAAAGCTCAGTGGCCATTCAGAAAGGGGAATCAATTACATCAGTATTAACTTCGTTTTTGTGTGATGATCCTTTGTCTGATTTGTAGAAAACTTGATACCTCTCTCTGGCATTTTCTTATTGCTCATCTGTGTGCTGTAATTTGAGTGTAAACTTCAGGCCTGCAGCTCCGGTGAGGTTCCCGGCCAGTTCAATCTGGTTACTCCGAGATGACATCACGAGCGAGAGGCAGTGCCACAATGAACAGCCAGGAATACTAGACCCTGAAAAGACAGATTCTAGCCAGGAGGGATTCAATAGGGACTGAAAGTTTCTACTTTTAAAATGCTTTATTAGTACAGTGGAATTTTATTTTTTCATAACTTCCCATCTTATTAAAATGGGGAGAGGCTGGGTAGAGAAGCAGAATTTAATCACCTTTTTCTGTCTGTATAAAGACAGAATACTTTATGCTGAAAGTATTGCTTGACACATTTTTGTATGATTAATATATTTTAATCAAGGTACTTCAATTATGTCTTAAAAAGCTTTCTTCTTGTTTAAAAAAATTATTATTAATTAATATGATACTCTTATGAAATTGTACATTACCCAAATAAACATAAAAGGGATACAGTACAGTTGGGCATTAAAATAGTTATACATTATTGAAAACTAAATCGGTGATGTCAACCTAAGTCAAAATCTTGATGCAGAGCTCTAATGCGGATTTGCATAACAGTTTTGGAGTGGAAGTCTGCTACATATCTGTGCATTAGTTGCTATTCTGTTCTCACTGTGCAACAGGACCTCATTAACTAACAGTGTATTTAGTTCACTGGCATTTTGCTCCACTTGCTATGCTGTTCTTGTCCCCTTAGAGTAAGCTTTGAAAGAATGTGACCGTGATGCAGAGTCTCACATTGCACAGCATGCAACAGAGAATTTTCAAAAGAGATGCTTGCATGAGGTACAGAAAACTTTTTTTCAGCACACTACTGCTTTTTTCTTCTGCAGCTAATGTGCTGAACTGTCTTTTGTAATTATTGTGTAGTTGTTTATCACTGGTTTTCCACTGCATTGGTGGCAGAAAACTCCACAGCTTGGAAAAGAAAAGTTAAAAGCCTCAGCTTAAAGTTGTGCAATGTCACATTGAACATCTTTTACCCATGACACTGTAGTCTGAGTGAAACTTGCTTCCTTGTTAACGTATCATTAGAGAGAATAATGTCCACTCATCAGGGTGGGATTTCTTGTGTGAGTATAGTGCATCATTATTCCTCTATCATATCCCTTGTATTAGACGGAAATAGCAAAACTGGGAAAGTGTAACAAAAACTGTATTCTATTTTAAACTTTTTTTTTTTTTTTTATGAAGACAATTTTACTCCCACTGTCCCCCAAACTCACACATAAAATGAAAGGACAAGACAATGCAAAACGTGTCACTCAGTGACCTTCAACATTTATAAAATTTGTAATACAGTAATTCCTAGTGGTTTAAATATACATCTCCCCTGGTCTGTATAACTTGAATTAAAAAAATAGTGATAACTTAGAGTGCAACTGAACAAATCAGCTGTGCTAGAGTTGCTCCTTTGTACTAACAAACAAAGCTGAGCTTACACTGAAGTCTCATTGAAGTCAGTGCTTACAGATAGAACTAGACATGCAGTCCAAGAAAACCATGCACACACCATGAAAAGTACATCCAGGTGAGTTTCAAAGGTCTCTGCATTTATGTTTGGGGTTTTAGACCTCATCTTAAGTGTGTATATTTGATGTATACGTTTGCATATCTTCAAATTTTGATCAGGTCTGTCAGTAGGAAAGATTGTATTACAGATTGGTAATGTAACATAACAAGTTGTCTAAAAGATGGAAAATCAGTCGGCTGGGTGTACAGAATAGCAGTAAAAAAAAGAAAAAAGAGTCTTCTGTAGATGCAGCTTGTATTAAAGGGCTGTTTTAAAGGGCATTGCATATTCCACTGATGATAAATAAAACCTCTGAATACAGTAGAAGCACAATCATTTTGTACCTGTGTTGTCTTTCCGAGACATTTAGCACAGACCTACTCTTCAGTGGAAGAATCAAGTGTCATTACTTCCCTGAAGGACATAATATGCAGAGAGAGAAAGCCTCTAACCTTAACTGGACATTTCCTGAGAATACGAAGGCTCTGCAGCGGGAGCTGGACAGGCTGGATCGATGGGCTGAGGCCAGTGGTGTGACGTTCAATAAGGCCAAGTGCCAGGTCCTGCCCCGGAGTCACAACAGCCCCAGGCAGCACTACAGGCTGGGGGCAGAGTGGCTGGAAAACTGCCTGGAGGAAAAAGACCTGGGGGTGCTGCTCCACAGTGGCTGAACATGAGCCAGCAGTGTGCCCAGGTAGCCAAGGTCAGTGGCATCCTGGCCTGAATCAGCGATAGTGTGGCCAGCAGGGCAAGGGAACAGATCATCCTGCTGTACTGGGTACTGGTGAGGCTGCACCTCAAATCCTGTGTCCAGTTCTGGACTCCTCGTTCCAGAAAGGACATTGAGGTGCTGGTGTGTGGTCAGAGAAATAGCAAAGCTGGTGCAAGGCTGGGGGCACAAGTCTTAGGAGGTGCAGCTGAGGGAGCTGAGGTTGTGTATCCTGGAGAAAAGGAGGCTTAAGGAAGACATCACTCTCTACAAGTACCTGAAAGGAGATTGTAGGCCAGGTGAGGATCTCTTCTCCTAGGCAACTAGTGACAGAATAGAGCAAGTGGCCTCAGGTTGTAACAGGGGAGGTTCAAATTGGACATCAGGAAGATATTTTTTACTGAAAATGTTGTTAAGCCTTGGAACGGGCTGCCCAGGGAGGTGGTGGAGTTGCCATCCCTGAATTGTTCAAGAAATAACTACAGTCTAGTTGACAAGGTGGTGATCTGTCAAAGGTTGGACTTGATGATCTTGGAGGTTTTTTCTAACGTAAATGATTATGTGATTTGTTTTGCTAATGTATGAAAGAAGTAGCCTTTCAGGTAAATGTTGAGCTTTGCTGGTACTGCATCTACACTAGAAATTCTTTTGCAGTAATTATTTCTATATTGGCAGATTCTTTCCCTGTACTGACATGGTCAGTGATGAAGGAGAGAAGGAATGTTTGTTGTGCTAAGAGGTTTCTGAAATGAAATGCTTTGTTCAGTATGTAATATGACAGAACCATCTATGTCCATTTTCTAACCAGAAAAGAGCCATTTTAAAAACGTCTGCTACCATGAGCAGCAGCACTGACAGTATTGTAAAATCACCTAAACATGCCGCTGAAAGCCAGTTGAGGTGAAACAGCACAATGTCTGATTTCCACTAACAGTAAATTGCAGTCCTTTACCTCAGCTTGATTCTGGAAGAGGAGCTTTTTTTACAGTTAGATTTTCCTGCAGATATAGTTGAGGAAAAATGTAATTTTGGCATGTAACTTCTCTTCAGTCAATATTTACAACAAGGGTAGATATCTGTTTGATACTTAATTGTAATCAGCTGGTATTACAGAGCTTTTTTCCCAGTGTTACAGTAAGTAAGCTTTTCTTTAAGTATTGAATGTGCTTTAGCACATATGTAGTGATTGACCCATTTGAAGTAAAAGATTATCTTATATAAGCATAATCCTCTTTACTTTATCCCTACAAACCTACTATCTGTATCAGATGTAGTTATCCCTGCAATGCTGCCATTGTGTGTCCATCTTTATGTTATGGGTAGGCTTGCTTTGTGCACATGTTGTGTATTACTACTTTTTAGTTCAGGATTTGAATTTGTAAAAAGTTTTCATTAAAAATACATCTACAAACTCTGCCATAATTTTATTTTTCCAAATATCCCCAGTTTCATTCTCAAATTTTAGAATTTATAAACATTAATTTCTGAAATCTGTGTAAGAATGCAATTTGGTTTCCAGTCTATATGTTATTAGAAGCAATACTGCTCAGAAGCAGTCAATGTAACAACGTCAATTGTAACAAGACTATTTGTATCTTCAAATTCAACTACTCTTTATGTAGTTGAATCTACTTTAACTAGGATTTTATATTTAAAATACCAATTAAAAATTAATTATGTGTGAGTTTATAATCATCTGATAATGTCAGTCAGATTTTTAGAGCTGATTTAGTTGTTTTGGATTCCTCGCTGCTGGAGTCCACACCGTAGCTTCGGATGCCTGTAGCAGGGGGAATTGTTACCCTGCAGTGTTGCCACAGGTAGTGCAGCAAACTGCATTACCACCATTGGCACTTTGCTCCTGACATGTTGCTCCTCCTCATCATGGCACTTTCAGGCTGCTGCTCTTTTGAAAGGCAGCAGGCCCTGGGGGTAGAAGATAAAGGCAGGCATCTTGCTGGCTCTTAGCTTGTCCACGCTTTCTGCTCCTTGTGGCATCCTCAGGTTGCTTCTGCCATCCAGACTGGCTGGGAGAGTGCAGGTAGCCTGAGTGAAAGCAGTAGGAAGAGGCAGGGCAATAAATGCTGTTGGCTTTCTTTCCATATCTTGTAGTTGCTGGTTGGACACAGCACCTGGAATGGGCACTTTCCTTATGATGTCCTACAGCATTATTATGTGTCTGATAGTTCTTTGGAACTGGTGTGCTTCAGTATAATCTGACTGATTTTTTTTTATTATTATTACTTAAACAGAGATCAAATTAATTATTAAAATGAAAGAAATAAATTAATCTGCTTTTTTCACATCAGTTGTTCTGAAGACCTTGCTTCCTTGATCTCAGAAGTAAGATATTTTTTTTAAGATCTGACATAAAGTGAATAAAATTATATCAGACAAATAGTCACCTCCCTTTTGTATTGTAAGGTTTAAGTAATACAACTTGGACTCTCTCTCTCTTTCGCTGGTACCATATTATTTTGCAGGTATCTCAAAAGTTCAAGGCAACTCTACTGTGCTAACCACAAAAACACTAGCAGAAATAAGTGTTATCATTTTATGATCTGGTAATTCATGCCCTCCTACTATTTTTGTGATATATTTTACCTTTGCTACTTTTAGCCATTGTAATCTTGAAGTGTCCTCACAGAACAACTGCTGGGACTCTCAGTGAATTTTCCCCAGTTACAGGAAAGCAGTATTGCAGGATCACTACTTTATTCTGAATATTGTCTTTGATCATAATTTTAATCAGTTAATGAGGGGAATAAAGTTCAACTGCCGTGACTTAGCCAGCAATTTTATTTTTTGCTGAATAAGGTTTTTAAAGAATTTTTATTGTACAGGCAATAAAATGAATTCATGATAAAGGCATTTCAACTGTTTAGTCTCAGAAAACTGGAAACAAACAGCTGAGTGTGATGGCCAGGGTCCAATCATTATTTAAGTATAGTAAATTTTTCTTTCTCTTTAATTTCCCCATTTTGCATATTACTTCTTAATTTCACCCATTGCTGGGAAGAATTAAAAAAAAAAAAAAGAAATCAGAACACAACCAAAATCTCTCAAGCTGTGGGGTTTTTTTGAACCATATGTCTTGAAATTCGTAGAAATCCTAGTCTTCATGTGTTTTAGTTTTAAAGAAATGAATAAATTATTTACAGTAATACACCATTTCCACTACATATTATCCAAGTTATATACTTTATATAGCAGAAAAAGTCTGTAATTTTTTGTGTTTCATGACACCCTTATGGACCAAAATGGAAACTTAACAATTTCATTATGAATTGGAAAATTAATTTTAACATGCATAAGATCACTCTTGTGATTACATTCATCTACCTTTATATTAGCATTAATTATTTACAAAGTGATCAATAAAGAGTTAGACACCTGGCAAAAACAACTTTATGGGAATAGACTGAGGAAACCTAGGCTTGATGGAGTGGGAAATAAGGCTATTGACAGAGGCACAGGGTCTTGTTCAGGCCAGTGGGGACCTGGGTCAGCAGGCTCAGCTGTGGGCTCAGACCAGGCTGCTCAGGGTTTTACCCCGTCAGAACAGGAAACTCCCAAGGATGGAGGCCCAGGTCCACCCCTGGGCTGTCCTCATGGGCCCAGCTCTCCTCATCTCCAGCCTGAGCCTCTCACACTCCTGCTGTGCACGCAGCACAGCTGTAAAGAGCCTGGCTGCATCTCCTCCAGCCCCTCCTGTTGGTGCAGGGCATACTGTTAAGAATGGTTTCATTGCCTTGTTCTCTGGTCTTAGGACTCCAACATACATTTCTCTTGCCCTTGCCTACATCGGTTTTGCTTGAATTCAGAACCCTATCAGCATAAAGCAAACACTGAATTAATGAAATCTACATGGATTTATGTTAGGTCATAAGTAAGTCCGCCTGCATAGATAAATCAGGGGCTGTTGGCTTTCCCTACTCAGGAGTGCAGTTGCTTATGAACTTCCTAAGGACATGATGAAGTTCTTCAAGGCAATGTAAGGCATAGGGGAAGAAGACTTCATCCCAGGTCTCTTTAAAGGGGCATGCCAAGTGTGGAAGATGAATACTTGAGCTGTATTGCTGCCATTGCCTTCGTAAGTGATCAAAGGAGCAGGGTAAGAGAGGTGAAGGAGGAGGAAGAGGAGTGTGGCCTCCAGCATTTTACCACCCTGATTAAAATTAATTGTGTAAATGTCTTAACAGGTAGCTCATTAAAATGTAATAATTAAAAATCTATTCAGTGTTAGAATCTTGAGTGCAGGTTCTACTCTTATGCACAGTTACTGCCTAAGCTGCTTGCAGTCTCACAAGGCTTTTGGCTTTATGTCTTCAATGAGTTTGGAAGCAGGTTTATTTAGGAGATCTCCAGCACAAGTTAAGTGACTGCAAATAGTGGCTGTTCACTACAGTTGCTGAGAAATGACTCTAGAAGAAACAATCAGTTGGGCAAACAAAGAAAATGCTATCGAGCATATTGTACAGTATTTGTGGTATGTGTTTAGTGCAGAAATTGCACTCAGTGCATTTTTGTCTGTGACATTGAGCAAGTGAGCAAGTTAAATGACAGCCAACTTCTGCCTTCAACTGCATTTGGAAATTCATTACCATTTCCAAGAAATCATTGATGTTTGAATTATGCAAGAATAGAAGCCTTCCTCTGAAACTGCGATCAAACTGTCTTTCATTAAACTTTGGGTTTGCAAGTGGTAGAGGAAGGTCTCTACAGTGTTAAACTCTCACTTAAAAAAAACAAACAAGTGCATCTGTCTGGTATTAACTGTGTGGGAAGACTATTGAGGAATGGAGCTTTTCACTACACTTTAGAAATTTTGCCCTGGACATTGCTGACTTCAAGCCTATAAGCATATAACTGTTGAGTCTCCAGAAAAAAAATTGCAGTTTATTGAAATTAACAAATCAGTCTTTATACATTAGGTCTAATGGTTACACTGAGTAAAAGGCAGAGAAGAAATTAACTGAAAACCAGTAAAAAAAATAACTGTGAGAGGTGTAATGTGACTGTGGAAGAAATTAATTGAATACCAGAAGATTTTTGAAAAAATTAGTCTTTATACATGGAACTCAACAGTAGCAATTTGAGTAAAAGAAAGAAATAGGTTTGGAAATCAGAGGTAAAGCTCTGATATCCTTGTTCATGACTGCACTAGAAGTTAATTCAAAACCTAATAATTATTTGCCATCACATTCCAGAGAATTAACTGTTTTGACTTAATCCCTCTTGCTAGTGTAGCTTACAGAGGGAAAATAGGTTTTGAGACACCTAGGGTCCAAGCCATTCTACTTTTCATGATTTGCTTAGCCTTGTATTACAAAGTCTGTTTTCCCAGTTGAAGTGCAGAATGAACAGATCTTGGTGTAACTGCACTAATACAGCTCTAATACACTCTGGGGTCAGAGTCAGGGGAGGAAGGAAAAAGATCTGCTCCCTTTACCTAGGAGGATTGGTGTACAGTTCCACCCAGGTGTGTCAAGCTGATCTTCATCCTCAGCTACTAACATATTTTGTGGATATTGCCCTTTGTCAGATTTTGGGTAGCATTATTTGTTGACTGCTGTGAGTGGGTTGACTCAATGTGATTTTTGCACAGCCTTCAGGACACTGAGAAGTATGTAGAAGGAAGACCAAAGAGTAAACTATGGCTGGGGGAATGAGGGAGTGAAAATGCCTTCCTTCTCAGTACTTCAGAATCATTGTGTTGTAATTCTTCAAACTAGATTGGCAGGCTCATTAAAAAGTTAATGTCATTCAGAATTTCTTAAGTTAGAAATGCTCTATTAACACTTTTTTTTTTAATATACTGGTAAAGCATAATGAAGTTGAATTAAAAGAACTGTTTTATCAGCTATTTAGGGAAAATGCGGGTAAATAAAGTTTTTTAATACAAAGAAATTATTCCTGAGTGCTTGGTGTGAGCTTAGTTTGCGCAAATATGACTGTGTTAGAAACACTAAATCACAGTTATGGATGGCTATGGCTTCTGCAAGGTTTAGCTAATAAAAAGTGCCTGCCGAGGTAGATTCTAATGCATATGCAAGATGGGTCTCTCCTGGGTCAAATGTACATTGTGTTAGCACAAGAAGGACTTCATAAGCCTTTTGCCTGCAGCTGTTTCTCTCACAATTCTTTCCACGTTGGTTGAAACCCTGTTATTATTCAGTTGTTGCATTATCCAGAATTTTGTCAGAATTTAAATTTTCCCAGAATGTTTTACCACCTTAATATTTTATCTTTACTGGTTTAGGTTTGCCCTTTATTCTGCTACTGTTTATACTCACATCACCAATATTTATTACACTGGGGTACAAGACATTTCAGTTAGACACTGTTAGTGTTATGTGTAGCTATAGCATTCTGACCTAATTTCTTTTCAATTAGGTGAAAATGAAGTCCTTGAAACTCTATACAATATTGCAAGCAAGAACAAGATATGGCGGTCTTACATAGGCATGGGTTATTACAACTGCTCAGTGCCTCAGCCCATTGCACGGAATTTGTTGGAGAATGCAGGATGGTAAGGTACCACATTTTCTTGTTAAATAAATGTGTATAAATACACTTTTGAAGTTTGTCTTATGATTGAGTGTAGACAAATATACCCCGGACCTGTTTTGTTTTGTTTTGTTTTGTTTTTTACTAAGGCTTTCATATATTTGCTAATGATGTGTATCCTACTGTGTCAAAACTGTGGTGTTCATGCTGGAGCTAGAAAGAAAAAATAATACTTCTGATTTTAGAAGATGCATTTTTTTCTGTAAAATGTTATTGATTTTGTGACTTTTATTCACAGCTCCTATTTATTATGAACTAATACAAGAATTTTTGTTTGCTTTATGGAAGCATACAGATGTAAGTCCTAAACAAAAGTAATTCTTTTCTAAGTTGTGCCTAAGTTTAAAACATCTCCCTCCTCCACTGGTGTATGCAATTTGTGTGGAGGTAGTTAAACACTAGGCAATACCCTGATCATGATTTTCTTGTGAGGAAGTAAGAAACCTTGAAAATTTTCTAAAGGCTGTTCTCTTGGTATTTCTTTCTTGATTTTTTTTTTTTTTAATAACTTGAGACCTGTAGGAGAATTAGAAACCTTTTGGGTTAAGGCAGGAGTAAACCAACTGATGGGAATCTGAGGAGTCTCAAGGACTAAGTGTTTTGAGAACATGACAAAGACTGGACATCTACAGGGATGAGAAAAACAACACTTGCAGAAGGAAGTTTAAGCTGAACCTGCCAGGAGGCATGGGAATAGAAGCGTTGTAGTTAGATTTAGAAGGAGAAGAATTTAGAAAATAAGATATGTTAACTAACCAATAATAATCGTGTGAACAATGTGTGTTTTAAATGTGTAACCAATAGCTATTAAAATAGTTAAATATGTTTTAAGTGTGTATCCAATGATGTGTGAAATAGTAAAATATATTATAATTATTAGACTGCATAAAAATCTGTGTGATGGCTAATAAAGATGAAGCTTCCGACATCATATTGGTGGAGACGAAGTTTCCTTTGGAGTTCTCGCACGTGTTACAGAGACCTTCAAGGGTTTGAATGTTTTTCCATCAAGTAAATTCTTGTCTGATCAAATAATTTACTGGTGAACAGGAGTGGTACTAAAACTGTGGTAATATGATCATTCATTTATGAAGAGGCTGAGAATACTGTACTTGGTTCTGATCACCCAGCTGACTTTTCAGTTTGTAAAGGACTGTAACTCAAAAATGGTGCAACAGGAAGAGCTAAATCTAATGTGGAATCTCTTTTTCCAAAAGACTGAATGTCACTGATACCCTGTATTTTCTCATAAGGTTTACAAGTTCCCCTATCACTAGTCAGTGAGATCCTTTTTTGTACTGTATTAAAATGATAACTGTCATTTTTATTACTGGGTAATTTTTATTTTAATAAAAGCAGTATTTAAAATTTACATATGTATTCAAAAAAAACCAATCAAGAAGAAACAACTAACCAAAGGATTACATTACTCAGTATAAAAATCTGTTATTACTTAGACATTATATATTTTTTATACCTTGGGTTGCCATAAACGTGTCTACATATCTGTAGACCTCTGAGTCTATTTATTTTTAAATTTGTTTGCTCTATTTGCATTGCACATTTTTTAACTGGTGAAAAAGTTGCACTGTTTGGACTTAAGGAACTTATGCAGTACATCTATACAAAGCTTTATTTGGCTTTATTTTCACTCACTTTTTGCAACATATACAAACTAAATAATTCAATACAGTACCACAAAACAAGTTATTAGTTGATACAGGCAAAGATGAGAACAGTTAAAAACTAAGTGGAACAAAATGAACTGCTTATTTTTAAATCCTAGAAAGTGATATAGCATTAATGAAACAACTGGGAGAGTCTGTCCACAAATCTGTTCTTGCAGTGTACAGTAAAGTAAAACTAGATGGATAAAAGCTAAACTGTTAGATGGCCAAAGTGAAGGCTAAAATGTTTGTTGGGGAAAGGTGTATATGTGTGTGTGCATATGTTCAAAAGCAACTACACAGGCTTTATGGAAGCTGTTTAAGAAATCAGACCTCTCTGCGCATCTGCTGGTGTGTAACACTTTCCATGCTGACACAATTCACTTTGCAGCTCCAAAGAAAATGCTGCAAACTCAGCCTTATTGTTTCTGATCTATCTCTCTCACATAACTTGCAGTTTCTGTTGCTTGGCATTTTTTAGAACAAGGCTTGAACTGGTATACAAAATAAGTTTATGAAAGATAGTTCATAGAAGTCATTTAACACAAAAGTGAATGACTTCACAGTATTTAGGACACTAGGAGAAGGTAGGAAGCAAAGGGGTAGATTTCAGGAGGAAACTTTAGAACCAAATGTATTTCCATCTGAAAATGAGGCTGCTGAACCACACTGGGTTTTTTATAAGGTTAGTTACCAGAGAAGTCTTCCCAAATATCTGCTTCTGTTTAGAGTACACTCAACACATTTAACTTGGAATTTTAACTTTTTGAAGCATTTGGACAATGATTTATATCTATATCCACTTCTAACTTCTATTGGAATGTGAATATAACTTCCCAGTTTTCTCTAATTTTACCCTCAGTCATCCTCCCAGCCCCCCACTAACATAATAATTACATTTTTCACATTTGATGTTCTTTCCCTAGTAGCATACCAAAATAATTCTGTGCTCTGCCATGAATATATGAATAACTGAAGATGTGAAAATACTTGGTTTCAGAAATCAGCTTACATGTAGACTTTTTATTAACATACACTGATCACACCAGTGTAGTATTTATTTTTGGGGCTTAAGTAGATAAAAATACCTATGAGACCTTGAAAATCAAGAAGGCCTTTGAAGTCATACTAATACCATACAATGGAGCATGATGCAGAGGTCTCCAAAGTACAGCTCATTTGATTCCTTTGCCCCTAGACATTAAATATGTAGGAATAAAATACCTGTACCAACAGGTACAGATCTGCAGTGTAAATTATTAAACTTATTAGCTAGTACACTCAGTACTTACACATTAACATTCTGAAAATTATTGCATACTGTGCAATAATTACTTTTAAAGAGTTTGCTTTTAAATGACTTAAAAAAGTCACTTAGCATGTAGCATAGAATCAAGCAGAAGTCAGAATGCAGACTAAAGCCAGATATTTTGTTTGAAGAAATTGTGGAGATGTAGAATATATAAAAGATAGAGATGCTTAGAAAATGCCAAAAAACCTTAAGGTGTTTGAGTAAGTGGGCTTATGTCAAAAAAGGTGTCTTTACCAGTAGAACGGATGAGCTTCATGGACTGTAATTTGTGGCAATACTGAAATTCAAGATTTTTTGATTGAATTTTTTCTATCTTCCTGAAATTGATTGGTTTTACTTCAACTGTATTTACTATTCAAAACCACAACATCAAAATCATAAAGCTTCATTAATGCTGCTTTGTAATACAGTGTACTTTCCCAACTACGTGGAGTAAAATTTCTCTAATAAATTTCAGTTAAACTTAATGCTTTTACTCATACTAGTCTTAATTCTAGTTCCCCCTGCAAGTTATAATACAAAAAATGTCCCTTAGGCAAAGTAAAATGAGAAAGCACGAGTGTTGACCTCAACTACGGAGGAGTTTCTTTCTTTTTTTAAGCAGAAAAAGTCATTGTTTATGCAAAGGTGTTTGGAATAACTCTTTTTATTGGTGAGAACTGAGTGGGCAGGGACTATTCAGAAAGTGAATCTTAATACTCCCAGACTGAAAGTTTATCTGACACACTGAACACTGGGCTTAGCAGCTGTGGAGAAAAAAAATACTGTTGGGATTAGCAACATTTTCATGCAACCCAGGACACGGTCTCACTTGTGAACTATGCAGTCATGTGATGATAATTAGTTTAGTGGTAAAGTTGGCTAAAAAAGAGAAAACTCCTGCAATTTTGGGGAAAATCATAGATACTTATGTGTTCAATACATACCTATTGCTTTCTGTCACTGTACTGAATAGTATATGTGAATAATTTGAGCAGATGTTTCATCTAAATAGACAGAAAATACATTAGCATCCTGTATTACACTTTGAAATCACATACTGAATATGGCCTTCTAGCTCTTGTGTTCTCTTCAGGTCTTTTTTCTACCTTCTGTCTAGCATTACTATTTTGTTGCTGCTCTCATCTTGCTCTATACCACCTTGTTCTTTAAAAATCTTTGCTGTTCACCTTCTATTGACTTTACATGATTTGAGCTTCCTTAAAGCCTATACCCTCACTCATATGCAATTTTTGAAAGTCTAGGCTTGCTACCAACCTTTTAAGGAAAAATACTGTTGTCTTCTTCCACTGCTAGAAAACAGAGGCCACAAGTGTTCATGTTTACCACTTGTTTCTGGCTGCTACTCTAAATTCGATCTGGCATAAAGTCTGTCCCAAACCACTGTGGAATCCAGTGCCCAAATTTCCAGCAGTGAGAGGAGAATCTGACCTCTGTTCTTGCCTTTCATCCCTGGACCCATGCTGCTTTGTTTTCTGGACTGTTACAATGGAGCATTTCCCTTTGATTTTTGTGTTTTCAAAGGAGTTGCTTATGTTGCCGCTACTGTTTTATTTGCCAAATGAAAACAGATAAAACTTACGTCAGTCTCACTTCCCTCTTCTAGCATATATGGAAACTGTCATTTCACAAGAAGCTGCGCATTTCTGAGCTTGATTCCATGAAATGACAAGTGCCTTTCTTCCCAGAAGAGTGGGGAAAATGTGACGAGTAAAAGGCTTATGAAACAATACTGAAAGATCAAGTCATACCTCAATTTGATTGAATAAAGCAATCTCTTTTGGATATTGTGATGTGATTCAGTTCTCCCATAGTCGACACCTACTCATCCTATCCCTTCTCCGTGGAGTCCTCACACTTCTGTTTTAAAAGCAATCTTTTTTCAAAATGGAGAAATGAAATTATTCTCCTGTAAAAAGCCAAGTCAACCTTAGAAGATAAACTACTCTCAGGCTTCCAGTATAGTGAAAAATTACAGTTGTCTAAAAATAAGTGTTGTTTTTTAGCAACAGAACAAAACAGACCAAAATAACAGAAAGAGGATGGTTACTTAAAAACTTTTTAAACTTCTTATTAGTGAATTACGCTTTACCATATGTTTTTCCTATGACATAGCTCAGTTACGTGTTGGCAGAATTCTGTTACGCACTTATTTTCCTAGACCCAAACTCAGGATTTTTTTTCTTACAGGGTTACCCAGTATACTCCTTACCAACCTGAGGTATCCCAGGGCAGGCTGGAAAGCCTGCTAAATTACCAGACTATGGTGTGTGATATCACAGGAATGGATGTGGCTAATGCATCTTTGCTGGATGAGGGGACAGCTGCTGCAGAAGCTATGCAGTTATGTCACAGGTACTGTATTTACATGTATGGTTAAATCACAGTGGGAAGTAATTTTTGAATTTGAAGGCATCTGTCCATGTGTAGGAATGTGGCCTTTCCACTCTGAACAGATCACTGTATAACTATAGTTCATCTTGCCAAACTCCCAGAGAAGTTCTCAGTGTTGATGTAAATGTTTAACTTGGACATCTAAGGCCTTAAGAAACCTTATGATCAGAGAAAGGACGGAAGGAAGTCTAGAACAAGGAAAACTTATCCTTGCTGGAGGAGAGTCAGGTTAGAGAACACTTAAGCAAACTGGACATACACAGGGTCTTGATGTGGTGCACCCATGGCTGCTGAGGGAGCCTTCTGGTATCAGTGCAAGGCCACTCTTGATTGTCTCTGAACAACTGGGAGAGGTGCCTCAGCAATGGAGGAAAACAGATGTCACTCCTGTCTTCAGGAGGGGCAGGAATGAGAATGCAGGGAACTACCAGTGGGGCCAACCTCACCTCGGCTACTCAATGATGGTGGAACAAGTGCTGGTCCTGGAAACTGTTTCCAGGCGTGTGAAGGACAAGAAGGTGATCAGGAATCCCAAGCATGAATTCACACAGTGGAAAGTCATGTTTGACCAATCTGATGACTTTCTACGATAAAATGGCTGGATTGTGAGGAAGAGCAGGGGGGTATGGTCTACTTTGATGGTCTCCCTAAATCCCCAAAGAGAAAATGAAAATTGTGGCTGGGTGAGGTGGGAATGAGGTGGATTAAAAGCTTGAATGTCTAGGCCTAGAGGGTAGTGATCAGTGACATGAATTCTATGTGGAGGACAGTAATTAATGGCATACCCTAAGGGCATCACTGGGTCCAATCAGTGATGTGGATGATGGGGCAGACTGCATCCTCAGCAAACTTCCTGATGATGCAGAACTGCGAGGACCAGCTGATACACCAGTGGGTCATGGTGCCATCCAGAGGGGCCTTGACAGGCTGGAGAAAATGGGCTGACAGGAACCTTGTGAAGCTCAACAAGAGGAAGTGCAAAGTCCTGCACCTGGGGAGGAACAACCCCAGGCATATGGGATACATGATGGGGGCTGGCAGGCTGGAAGGCAACTTTGCTGAAATGCCCTTAGGGTGTCCTGTGGGACACCATATTGAACAAAATTCAGCAGTGCCTTGTGGCAAAAAGGCCAGCAGTCTCCTGGGCTGCACCAGCAGGAGTGCTGCCAGAAGGCCAGGGAGGGATCCCTCCCTCTCCTCATCGTGGTGAGTCCACATCCTGCAGTGCTGTGGCCAGCTATGGGCTCCCCACTACAAAAAAGACATGGACATACTGCAAAGAGTCTGCTTGCTCTGCCCATGGTACCAGCCCAGCTATGGGTACTTCAGTTGCTGTGCTATGGACATGCAGATCCTCTTTGTTCTGAATCTATTAGCTGTGACCCAGACAGACACACACACACACACACACACACAGAATACAGAGTTCCCTCACACATGAAAGGAATCAGAAAGGCATTTAACACAGAGAGACAGACTGCACTGGTTGAGTGCAAGTGCATCAGCCACCAAGTATTTGTATGAGCCTGGCCTAGTTTATCCCCTTAATCCTATTTTCTTACACATGTTGCTCCCAAAAATCATTTGACTCTATTATTTTTCCTCTAAACATCTCATAGTAAGCCCTTGCAATCCCAAAATGTTTTCTCATGCATCCCATAATGTCTACTCCCCACGTGGGGGGTGGCATCTAGAGGGTGTGTCTGTTTGGGTTAATTAAAGAATTAGGAGTTCCTACCTGTCTTGCAGCCTCTTTGTTCCCCTGCACTTGTGGAGGTTGCTGGGCTAACATCTCCTGCAGAGGGCCTGGGAGCAGCAGGAATGGGGTGTTGTTTGGGTTCCCTCACCTGCCATTGTATCTGAGGGGAGTGCAGAGGACCTTTTATCACCTATAATCTAACCGACTGTGGCATGAAACTCTTGTGTTCATGAAAATTGAAGATGTGCGTTTTCTTTTTCCATTGGTGTTTAAAAAGCTTTAAAAACTGGTGAGGTGCATTGTTCCTAAGTTGACAAAAGTGAAATTGTTATTGATATATCCAAATCTACTTTCAAGGATGTGTGTTGTAGGGGCATTTGAAAGGGACCTGCAAATCAAAGGAAATGATTGAAGGCCACTGTAGCACTGTGTATCAGAAAACAGATTTACACAGCGGATACTGTTTTGTAGTGATTCTTTTGTTCAAAGCCTCAGTCCGACAAAAAATTGTGTTACCATAGAATCATAGAATGGTTTGGATTGGAAGGGACCTTAAAAGATCATCTAGTTCCAACCCCACTGCCATGGTCAGGGATACCACATCTTCTCAGTCTCCATTTAACTACTTGGATGGCTCATCTTTATTTATCCAGGGCAACACTGAAAATCTGTATTAAAGACCACAGTTGTATTCCTTTAAAAGAGTATGTGTGTGGAGCCATTCTCACAGCTTCTGAAAGTGGCTTCTTGTTTTGTTTCAGTCTTAATTTTTGTCACGTATGAGTCTCATTTGAGTGTCTGAAATGAACTTTCTTATTTAAATGTGTCAGAACCTTCATTCAATCTTACACTTAATTTGGTTATAATAACCAATATTTACAACTGCCTTTTAACATAGTAAAACAAGTGTAGAAACTATGGGAAACTATATTCTTGATATATAACCCTTGTTTTTCCTTTTTTCAACAGACACAACAAAAGAAGGAAGTTCTATGTAGATGCCCGATGCCACCCTCAAACTATAGCAGTGGTTCAAACCAGAGCAAAGTAAAATTTTTATCCATTTTCCACCTTATCTTTTCACTTACACTGAATCATTTTTCATCTGTGCCTCTTTACCATATACCTAACATTTTTGGACTATAAGATTATGCTTTCATTGCAAAGTAGAAGCAGAAATCTCTTATCATTTGGCATTGCTTTTAGTTTTCCATTCAAATACAACTGCAAAGAAATTAAAACAACTTAAAAAAAAAGACTAAACATACGATAAAAAGAAAATATTTATTTTTCCTCCTAATTTGTTGCACAAATATATTTGATTGTTGAATTCAACCTGGTCTTTTATTTTTTTACTAGGAAATTAATTACTCTAGATAGCAAATCTTCTCTTTTTAATGAAAGCTAGATCCTTTTGAAGTTTACAATTTGGAGTAACCATCTTGTAGAAATTTGACTTAGTTCTCAAAGTTAAGCATGTTAAAGGAGCAAAATTTTGATATCAAGTATCTTATGCATCCTCTGCTTTGCTTTGCTCCATATTTCTAATGGTGATGTCAAATGCAATTATTCTTCAATACTGCACAGCATGACATGAAATTTTCTCAATGTTTAGTGCTGCAAAGCATGCTCAACTCTCTGTATTTAAAGAGAAAAGTTATATAAAAGTCCATGAGAACATCTTACTAAGTATCTGTCCAAGGTAAGAAGTGGCATGAATATGTTACTTTCTGCATATTTTTGTTTCCAGTTATACAGGTGTTATTACTGAGCTCAAATTACCCCACGAGATGGATTTCAGTGGGAAGGATGTCAGTGGAGTGTTATTTCAGTATCCGGATACTGAAGGGAAGATTGAAGACTTCTCTGAACTTGTTGAAAGAGCTCATCAAAATGGGGTAAAGTAAATTTTATTGGTCCGACTGATAACAATCTGATGTGTCAAACAGCCATATTCATAAAAACTATATGTTACATGACATACTGTCTCAGTTCCATCCAATTGATAACCTTTACAACCATTACAACCAATGCATTTCAACTCTGTGCAAGTGATATGGAATTGTTTGAAGCCATATTTAAAAATTTAATTCCCATGCAAACACCATTTCTTCAGAAAAGAGGCTGACTGCTCTGTGCACTTCTGTTCCCAGACTCTCACCTGCTGTGCTACTGACCTTCTGGCTCTCTGTATTCTGAAGCCTCCTGGAGAGTTTGGGGTGGACGTTGTCCTGGGTAACTCCCAGAGGTTTGGTGTGCCACTGTGCTATGGGGGACCCCACGCGGCATTTTTTGCTGTCAAGGAGAATCTAGTGAGAATGATGCCAGGCAGGATGGTGGGTGTTACAAGGTAAGGGCTCCCTTCACCATCTCGTGCCTTCAGTGAAAATTGAAATCATAGAATCATAGAATCCTTAAGGTGGAAAAGACTGCCAAAACCATCAAGTCAAACTGTCAACCCAGCACCATGTTCACCACTAAACCATGTCCTCTGGTGCCATATCTCCATGTGTGTTTTGAACTCTTCCCGGGATGGTGACACCGTCACTTCCCTGGGCAACCTGTTCCAATGCTTTACAACCCTTTCTGGGAAAACCTTTTTCCTAAACCACGCTGGCACAACTTGAGGCTGTTTCTTCTCATCCTGTTACTTGGGAGAAGAGACCAACCCTCACCTCACTACAACCTCCTTTCAGGGAGCTGTAGAGAGCAACAAAATCTCCCCTCAGTGATCTTAATAATGCATAAGAAACCATAATAAACCTCATTGTGAGCATCTTGTGGTGAACAACAGCTGACCGCGGTGCTGTACCAAACACATTTTCCTTGAAAACTGTGAGAATAGAGGTTGCCTTCAGTTTTGAGGAAGCAAGCTTCAAGAATTCTGTTTGTGTGGAATGAAGCTGTGAACTGTCTATAATGCTTGTGGCAACAGTGGATTCATTGTGATAGCATGAGGCTTTGCAAGCTAACTTATTCCACTTATTCTGTACTGTTACACTTTTTTCTCTAACATCCAGTCTTACAAAACATAAATGGAAAGAAGTAGAAAATTCAGTGAACCTCCAAAATAATCAAGAAGGAGTTTAATCTAGTGCAAATTTTAGCCTCGCTTAAACAAAGCAGAGAAATAGTGTGCAAAATCTTGCCTCTGATTCTTGTTGTTGGTGATGTATCGTATATTTTGACAAGACGTCTAACTCGTAATAATTGAAATACAAAGCAGTTGTCTGTGGAAAGACTGCATATGTTTGGCACAGAAGCTATTTGGAAGTACTTCAGTAACCAAAATAACTAAAACATTTATGGTTGTCAATAAGGCTTAGAAATATTTAATTTATATAGTAGTATTTTTTCTTCATCTTTCTGCATCTCTAGAAAGCTGGAAAAGGAAAAGTTAAAATGGATAAAAGCTCTGATATTTCCTCAATGCACCTTTCTGCCAGGGATTTTTTCAAGACTTAGATCACAAGATCACAGAATGATTGACAGGTTCTCTGGAGGTGATCTGGTCCAACATCCTGCTAGGCTGGGTCAGACTCAACCTAGAGTCAGTAGCCCAGGGTGGTGTCCAAGTGTCTCTAATATCTCCACAAAAAGAGACTTCAGTTTCTCTGAGCAAGTTGCTAGTTGCGAAGTTGCCAGTGATTAGTCACCCTTACAGTGAAAAAGCACTTCCTCATATTCAGAGGGAACTACCAGTGTTTCAGGTTGTGTCCATTTTTATTGGTCCTGTCTCTGGGCACTGCTGATCAAAGCCTGGTTCCATCCTCTTTGCACCTTCCCTGCGGGTACTTATGTACTTTACTGATGTCCTCCCTGACTCTTCTCTCAGCCGTTCCTCATAGAAGAGGTGGCCAAGTGTCTTTGACATCTCTATGGTCCTTCACTGGACTCTCTCCAGTTTCTCTGTATTGCTCTTGCACTGAGGAGCACAGAACTGGACACAGTGTTCCAGGTGAAGCCTCATCAGGGCTGAAGAGAGGGCAGGGATCACCTCCCTTGTTGGCAATACTCCTCCTAATGCAGCCCAGGATACCCTTTGCCTCCTTTCCTGGGCAGATTGCTGGCTCATGTTGAATCTGATCCTCCCCAGGACACCCAGGGGTTTTCTGCCAAGCTGCTTTCCAGCTGGGCAGCCCCCAGCATGTACTGGTGCATGGAGTTCTATGCCAGGTGCAGGACTTTTTGCACTTCCCTTGTTGACCTTCATGATGTTCCTGTGATCCCACTTCTCCACCCTGTCAAAGTTCTTCTGGTTGGACTGCTGGCAAACCAAGCTGCGTAGCATACCTGAGGAGCCATGATGTAAACAGAAATCTGGAGGCTTCGGTCTTGCTGTTTGGTGTCGCAGCTGTCCTGACTTACGCATTATTCTCTCCAGCACCTTTCTGTCTCTGAGGATAGATAAATAGTTTCAGGCTACCACACATAAAGCCCAGTGTCATAAATTACTGCAATTTTAGAGTAACAGAACCAACATTTTTGCTTGTAACTTAGAGATGCAAGTGGAAAGGAAGTGTACCGACTTGCTTTGCAAACACGTGAGCAGCATATCAGGAGGGATAAAGCTACCAGCAACATCTGCACAGCACAGGTATTGTGCCTTATTTTGTGCCTTGTATGTGTGCCTTATTTTCAGTGATAGAAAGGAATGAGTTGAACAACTTCAGTTAGCTTTACTTTTGGGAGTTTTTACTAGAAAAATTAAGGACATTGAAATATTCTGGTTGTTGTGCATTTGTTTGAGTCCTTTGAAAAATGGATCTGCTTGAAAAGAGATATGTTTCCTTTAATAAGGACTGTAGTCCTGAATTCTTACAGTGTTGTGAATCCATCTGTCTTGTAGCATTAACACTACTGATTAGTGCTGTGTTATAAATGAGACAGATTTCGTATTAAAACAGCAGGGAATTCCAATGATCTGAAATTTCCCACTCAAGGCAAGAGAAATGAGCTTTTAAAATCTAAAACTCATTGTTCAAATTGTCACAACTTGTAATTTTGTCTGTGTGATTTGATGTGAAAATCAAATCACACAGACAGATATCTCACCAAAGAGAGATATTTACAGAAAAACACCATGATTAACTGAGTAATTATCCAAAAGAGTTATCTTCAGCATGCCTCCACAGACTGTCAGCCAGACAAGGTCGTAACTTTTTTTGCTCCTACTGTTGCTTTACTTATGCTGAAGTTTTGAGGAGAGTTTATTTATATTAAAACAGGCTTAATTACTTAGTATTAATGACATACGCCGTGATTTTTTTTGTACCGTTACTAAACAGTGGGTTCCTGTGAGATTGGCTTGACTTGATAGTCTTCAAACATCTGTGTCGTAGTAGTTAAATTTAAGCATGTTAACTGCTAACACATTTCAAAGGGCGTTGAATTCATAATCAGTGCTGACAGTTTCATAAAAGTATTTTGCCCTTCCCTCCTTTTATTTTGTAGGCAACACATAATCAGCTGTAACATCAGCTGAGGATATATGGTTGTCTCTTATGCTAAAGAAACATTCCACTAAGCTAACATGAAGTAACCTTTGCTAACAGGGACAGTAAGAATAATAATGTCCTAAACTGTATTTGGATCCTAGGCTCTTCTGGCCAATATGTCAGCCATGTTCGGTATATACCATGGGTCTGATGGATTAAGGCATATTGCACAACGGGTACACAATGCTACTCTAATCTTGGCGGAAGGTGCGTATTTAACGTTTACAGAAACTGTTATAGAATCGTTACCCCTTCTTAAATAATGCATCCTCCTATATAAACTCTTTTTTTTGGGGGGGAGGGGAGGTGTTGCCAGCTGATGTGTGTTCTCTCAACTGGAGAGAGACCCATTTTAATACAAACTTCACTGCTGATGTTTTTCTGTACTTCTCATAATGACATCCTAGTATTAGATATCTGTGTGATAGGAGCTTGCAGGCATTACTTCTGTTTCCTTGGGAAACTAGCAGAAGACTACAGAGTGAGTGTCTAGATGATACTGTTGAAATGCCATTTGCCAGCTGCTACTTCACTTACTGGACTGTTCTAGTTTACTACACAGAAGTCTGCACAGGGTATTAATAGCATAGCAAAAGAAGGTAACTGATGATATTAAAGCAATAGAAACATTTCAGTTAAATTGGGTGGAGTTAAATTGTACCTGCTATGAAAACTGAAATCCCAAAGCTTAACAGCTGACCAGAAGAACAGAATCTGTAGCAGAAAATAATGATTGTATCTGGACCATGTGGTCTGGTAGGGTTTTTTTCACTAGTATGACTGTCATTGCTGTCAGAAGGTGCTATGCAAAACTGGAATGATTGGAATTAAAGGATCATTGCCACAAATATTCATGCTTTATTTGCCAGTTTAGTTGGAAGACCTTTTGCTACTGTGAAAAGCACTAAAGCTCTAAACTTCGTTGTAGCAAACTCTGTGGCAGTTAATATCCATTCACATAGTATAACTTTTCTTTCCAGTGTTATGATTTTGTCTGTATTCCATTTATATACCAGCTCTGCTGCTGTATGTGTTACACATTTGATGTATCAGAAGGATCTGCCCTGGACTCATTATTAAGTCATTATTAATTAGGTCTGAATTTGACAGAGGTGCATTTCATACACAGTGACATTTCACTAAAAAGTTGATGATTTTGCTGATCTTTACACAAGGGGAATATTTTGCTTTTTTTGCTTTATTATGTAAAAGCATTTACTTATGAGATAGACAGTGTGGTTATTCAATTACTGTGTGAGTGAGAAATACAGTATGCATATAAGAGAATTAATTTTCTGTTTTTTCTAGGTCTCAGACGAGCTGGTCATAAACTACATCATGATATGTTCTTTGATACCTTGACAATCACATGTGGATGCTCTGTCAAAGAAGTTTTGGACAGGGCAGCTCTTAGAAAGATAAATTTTCGAATTTATAGTGATGGCAGAGTAAGCAATTTTCTAAAACTTTGATAAATTGAGAAATTTTGTAGTATGACTTTTTCTTCATGAAGTTTCTGGTCATTACATGTGGTAAATGGAACAAAATTATTTAAGACCTTGCAATTTGCTCAGATACGTCAGTCAGTTATAAAGATAATATAAAGAATGAACTTGTTAAGTAATGCACTTCCAGAAATAATAATTTTATTTTCCTTTTATGCCTGTTAAAAAAGATTATATAATTGTTTCATGTTAAATATGAGACTAAGGGGTAGAGTGGAGAGACTCTAAAACTTAATGATGAAATACAAGGTGACAGAATTCAGGTCCTGTGGCAGTGTTTAAAAACAGACTGAAACCTAAACCCTGTTTTTGTAGGCACTAAGGGCTCTTGGCAAAGTGTAAAATGTTCTGTAAATTGGGATGGGGGGAGGGGGTGTCATAGCAAAATGGGCAATTTTCCTATTAAGTGGAAAACACTTGGAAGGGAGATCACAAGTCTCAAAGCTTGTTAGCCATTTGGTTTGGATGGTTTGGCTGGGAAAAGGAAGGAATTGGGAAATTTTATGTAAATAAAATAAATTCATGTATATTACGTAAAATGAAGTGACATTTACATATGGGTAGATTGATTTTTTCTCTTTTTTTTTTCCTCCTGTGTTTCTGGAATAATTTTCTTGACCAGAACAAATGTACTCTAGAATTAAGAGCTTTGAGTAATTACTACTGTTTTTATCTACAGCTTGGAGTATCACTTGATGAAACTGTAAATGAGAAAGACCTAGATGACATATTATGGATTTTTGGTTGTGAGTCTTCTTCTGTAAGTACATAATAGATTGCACAGTTTAAATTAACTGAATGTTTCAGATGTTAAATGAAAATCAAAACTGCTCTTGGGACATTTGGTGTCTACACGTTGACCATTTGTTAAATACTGAGTATTTCAGATCCTCTCTTAACGAGAAAGGCAATGTTAGATAACAAGGATTTACGTAGTGCCATTTTCTGATTGTGACACTTAGTTCTTCCAGTCAGCTTTCACACCTTGCATTTAGGTTATTACTTCTTTTGTGAGAGTTAGGACATGGTGGTCAGTTATTCCTTTCCCACTAGAATTTTTGTTGCATGTCATCAGTAATTAGCAGCAATACTTACAAGATGAGGTCTACTGAGACATCTGTACGCCTTTTTAATATAATGCTGTTGTCATGCTAGATATGTATGTATGCTGGTAAAGTTGGGGGATTTTACCTTAAAAGCTGACTTAAAAGCTGACTAAATCTCAAAGTAAACTGGTAGTATAAGCTAGTTCTGGTAGAAATTTGTTATGAAAAAATAAGTTCCCATGAAAGTGTTTAACTCCCTGTTTCTCTGTGTTGAAGGAGCTGATTGCTGAGGGTATGGGCGAGGAAACCAAAGGCATCCTCAGTACCTCATTTAAGAGAACTTCCAAATTTTTGACACACCACGTTTTCAACAGGTTTGTGAAACAGCTCTATATTTGGTGTTTTATGGTATTATCTGAACATATCTCCTTTCAAGAGCAGTAGTGGAGTCAGCTGAGAGCAGTTGTGTACCTGGATTCATATAGTTGCTCCTTACTCTGAAATAATCTATTTAGTAGCATTTTTAGATATCTTTTTCATATTAAATGAGCAGAGCAGTACTTGTGGTTGCATTGGGAATGTGTTTTCCCACTAATCTGCTACATTATGCAAGCTATTATTTGAGGATGTAGTATCAGCAGACTTACTAGAGCCCTTATATTCCATATTTACTGACAGCATTTCTGAGAAGGTAATAGGCATTTTAATCCACGTTGCTATTAGCAAGCTTAAAATGCCAGTTCTAGTATATATCAATAGCTATCCTCAGTCTTACTTTTTTATTTATGTTTTTTCCTATGTTAGCTGCTGGTATAGCTAATCTGCTTGCCTTATCACTACATTTTGTGTTCTCCAGCTATCACTCTGAGACAAATATCGTGCGGTACATGAAAAGATTAGAAAACAAAGATATTTCCCTTGTTCACAGCATGATTCCTTTGGTAGGTATTTAACAAAAAGAGAAAACATTAGGTAATTATATACACCTTTATGTATTTCAATAAATACTGATAAGTGTGTTTGTATTTTCAGGGGTCCTGCACAATGAAGCTCAATAGTTCAGCTGAACTTGCAGTAAGTAGCAATAATACTGTCTCATCTGAGACCACATGAGTAAACTATCTAGCCAGTGTCATTGCAGAGAAGTAAAGACTACTCTTGGTTAGTACTCCAGCTGAAGAGTTAGTTTCTGGAGTAACTAGTCATCCTCTCCCATTTCTACCAGGAAAAAGTTGTGAAAGCACAAGTAGCAGTACAACAACAGTAAGAGAGTGAGTGGATTTAGAGGCTCCATTTTGAGTAAAACCATTTTTGGAATGAGATATCACAATCTTGTTCCCAGTGTTGCAGTACCTAATTCTGTCTGCTTTACAAATCTTAGAATCAGATACTCCAAAATATGGAAAGAGTCAGACTGATTCATCTTTGTTTTCAGTTTGCTGCTTGTTAGCGTAGCCCACCTTTTCCCCACGTGAAGGGTACCCAGATATCATCATTTTTCTAGCTGATAGCAGCCACTCTGTTTGAGTACCAAATTACTTCTTGACTCTGAATGAGCTTCCTCTGCTCTCTCCCCATTGTATTCTCACTTTGATCTTTTGCTAGATCTCCTTTGTCCTCCTTCTCTCACTGCCTTCTCTCTTTCCTTTCACTGTTTTCTGTCCTGTATATTCCCTCTAATTAAAATAAGTAGCAAAAAAATGTTATGTTCTATTCCACACAACTCCTCTCTGTTCACCTTGTGATCCTACAGCTCTACATAAGGGTAGATGATGTAGTGGGAGAAACTAAGGATTTTTAAGCATATTCTGAGTGTTAAAAATAGGTTTACTGGAAATCATAGAATCATTTCAGTTGGAAAAGACCTTTAAGACTGAATCCATCTGTTAACTTGTCACTGTCAAGTCCATCACTAAACTATGTCCCTAATCACCGTATCTACTTATCTTATAAATATTTCCAGGGTTGTTGACTCCAGCAGTTCCCTGAGGAGCTTGTTCAAATGTTTGGTAACACATTTTATGAAGAATTTTTCCTAATATTTTTCCAGTCTTAATCTTTTGTCCTATCTCCAGGGGCCAGAACAAGGACTTTTGTCCCAGGAAAGTGGTCTCTACCTCCATATAGCCCTCTTCTCCAGCTGCTTTGCTTTCTTACCCATTCTTTCTTTGCACCTTTCTTCCACTCTTTCTCCCTCCCTTTCTCTCATTTCCCTCTCTCTCCTCTCTTCAGTGTAACCCTTACTCAAAACACACCACCATGGGCTTCTGCTAGAGCATAAGGGACTAACACACCAATTTCCATACCAAGCATATAAGTATGTAAGTTTCTTTTGCAGACCCTCTGATTTTTGTTGTTCCTTTTTGACCACGAGCATCTGCAAATCTTGGGTGTTTCCTTCCCCTTAAGGGTGGGATGCCACATTTTCATTGGTCACAACAGCCCCAAGCATCACTTACAGGGTGAGAGCAGAGTGCCTGGAAAGGTGCCTGGAGGAAAAGGACCTGGGGCTGCTGGTCAACAGTGGCTGAACATGAGCCAGCAGTGTGCCCAGGTGGCCAAGAGGACCAATGGCATCCCAGCCTGTATCAGCAATAATGTGGCCCTGATTCCCCCATCAGGGAAATGATCTTCCCCACTACTCCAACCCCGCTGGTGAGGCCATACCTCGAATCCTGTGTCCAGTTCTGGACCCCTCACAGCAAGAGAGAAATTGAGGTCTCGGAGCATGTCCAGAGAAGGGCAACAAAGCTGGTGAAGAGTCTGGAGCACTGTCATGGGTTCAGGTGGCTGAATTTTTGGTAATAGGGGGCCATTTGCACAGTGTGCTCTAACCAACAATCTTTGGTTAGCTCCACAGCTATCTGGCTGTCGGTGTTTGGGACACCTTATCTTCTAGGCTTCTACATCACCCCATGGTTCAAACATCAATATGGACCTGGTGATCTGCTGAGAAGGAAAAAGAACAGAGACAGAAAGAGAGAGAGGCAAATGCATTCTCTAAGCCATTTCTAAGCTTTGGGGGTAATCTCTTCATAATACTCAGATCTTAATATGTAATCCAATTACCAAAATAAAAAACTAAAATGTTAACATTAAATCAGTTTACGTAAACCTTGCTAAACATCATACCACTGGCCCTGGCCCATTGATCCAGCCTGTCCAGATCCTTCTATAGCAGCTTCCAAGCCTCCAGCAGATCAACGCTCCCATACATATGGTATTCTTTCCTTCACAGAGTTTAACAAGAAAACAGAGTTGTTTGCAAAGTATTTTATTGTAGTATTTTTTGTTTGTTTTTGTTTTTGTAGCCTATTTCATGGAGAGAGTTTGCCAACATCCACCCTTTTGTGCCCCTGGATCAAGCTCAAGGGTATCAGCAGCTTTTTAAGGATTTAGAGAAAGACCTGTGTGAGATTACTGGCTATGACAAAATCTCCTTCCAACCAAATAGGTAGGAATTTTTTTCTGAACATTATCATCTAAACATGATTTAAAAAACTTACTTCTGACAAAAATGTGCTAGCCAAAAATGGAAGAAATTTCTAAAATTAAATTTGCTTTGAATGCAAGATTATGAAAGCAAATTATTTGGGTTTTTTTCGGAGACTACGGCACCTTATTTTGTCTTGTGTCTTCTAAGAGTTTAGGGATTCGGTCTTTTAAAATTTTTTAATATTTCTTCCCATGTTTTCGTCTCTATGAATGTTTCTCCACCACTGCTTGTGTAAAATGGTGGTGTTATTGGTATTCTCCTATGACCTAAAAATAAAGATGTGAAATAGGAATAAGCTGTATGAGCTTCCAACCGTGTAATTGTTGAAATTGGTACTTGATGCACTAGGTTTTACTAAAGAATGCCTAGGATCTGCATGCTCACTGAAATAAATACAGCAGCACTGAATGATAAATGCAGCCTGTTTATGTCCATTAGCAGTTTTGATACAAAATGAGCAGCAAGAAATTACAGTTAGGATGTCACTGAAAGACTTCCTATGTTTCATTTTGTCACTTTGTTATGCATTTCATTATTATTTGCCTCTCTGTAGTCAAGCATATATTCTCCTGCTAGGTGCAGAAATGGGGATCAACTCCATCACCAAAAGGATTTAACAAAATAGTGTAAGCACATAAAATGGCACAACTTTTATCATCTACAGTTTTCATCTACATCCAGCTGTTAATTAAGGCATGTCCATTTGTAATTTAACATAGGGGATGTGCTTCTTTTAATTTGCTGACACTTGCCTAAAGTCATTCGTAAGGATTAGGGCTGAACAGTTTTCAAGTTTTGGCAGAGAGCTGGCACTTTCTGGTTTGTGTGCTGTGTAACAGTGTTTGTGTTCCTCTTGCAGTGGAGCCCAAGGAGAGTATGCAGGCTTGGCTGCAATCAAGGCTTATTTAAATGCCAAAGGAGAACGTCATAGAACTGTAAGTGTCAACACTCATGTGGGGAAGAGCTTTGGGTGGAAAGTGGAGAAAGGAAAGTTGACTCAGCAGCTGGGAGTCACCTAAAGAGAAATCAAGTTGTGTATCCTCACCTGTGACAAGCTTTCAGTATTCCTTGCTTCCCTCATGAATCCTGGGTACCATCTTAAAAGTTTTTACAGACAGTGAGAATGAGAAAGGGAACTCCCTGAAAGGGGGATTGTACTATGTCTGGCATGGACGGACTTAACTTTCTTTGTAGCAGCCCATGTGGTGCTGTGCTTTGTGGTTAAAGCACTGTTCGTAACACAGGAGTCTCTTGGCTACTGGTGAACAGTGCTTTCACAGTGTCAGTGCTTTTTCTTTATCCCACTGCCCTGCCCTGATCCTGTCTTTTCCCCAGCAAGGAGGCTGGGTGTGGGCAAGAGGCTGAGAGAGACACAGATGACCCCAGCTGACCAAAGGGATATTTTATGCCATCTAGTGGCATGTGCAACAATAAAAGCTCAGGGAAAGGAGAACAAAGCAGGGAAGGTTATAACTATGGCATTTTAATTCCCTGGCAACCTTTACATGTGCTGGACATGTGGCCAGCCATGGGAAGTAATGAATCAATTAATTAAGAGCAGGTGCTGATTGCTACCATAGTAGTGCACTGGTGATATATTGCACCAACCAAGGTGTCCTGGTTACCATCCATAAATTGATTCATCTACTGGAGAGCCAAGGAGGGATAAGCAAGACTTAATAACCCTTAAATAGTCCTGTAAGACCAATGCAAAAAGTATGACAGTGGGTGGAAGTTAACAGTGGACTGTCTGCCACCAGCAGTGAGTGCTGCCATGTGTGACAAGCTAAAACTCCTGTATAAGTGGGAGTCAAAGGCAGCCAAGCAGTGTGCCACAGCTGATGCTGCAAAAGCATTTTTCTTTATCCCACTGGCACCGGAGACTAGATCACTCTGTTTCTGGCAGTTTGTGGCTGTGTGTCCAGTACATCTGGAACTGACTGTCCCAGGGCTGGAAGCACATCTCTACCTACCTGTCAGTCTTTGACTGATACAGACTGCCTTGGAACAGGGTGAAGTCCTTGGACACCTGCAATACAGGGATAGGCACCATTGTATGGGGCAACACAGCCACACTGGAATCATCTGAGGAAGGGTAAAAATAATTCAGACCATTTGGAAAGCTGGTTTTGCCATAAAGCCAAAGTATAAGAGATCCAGTTCTTGGGACTGAAACAGCAAGATGGTTGTCACACCCCTGGGCTGCAGTCAATTACATAATAACTGTGACCCCACCAGCTTTCCCTTCCCCAGAAAGGAACACAGGCTTGTCTAGGTATTGTGGATTATTGGAGAATGTGTGTGTATGCCAGGTTACAGTCAGCTTGAGAGCCCTTTCTACTGAATGACCCTAAAGAAGAATTATTTGACTGAGGTTCTGAGCAGCAACGGATCAAAGAGAGGAAGGATAGTTTGTCTGGTAGCCCTTGGGTGCCTATCCAGGTGGGAACAACTGTGAGAAATGTACTCTACATATCAGCTAGGGAGCCTTTAGAGTTTTGGAGCTGGAGGTACTGAGGATCCAAGACTTACTGCGCTCTGACTGAAAAAGAGATAATAGCAGTGCGCTTGGGGGGTAAGCTGCTTCAAAGGTTACTGGTACAGCACAGCTTCTCTTGCACCATGATCGTCTGTGCTGCACTGGATATTCTGATTATGCATTTTTCTACAGTTAAATCTAATGCTTGAGGAAGAAATGCTTGTCTTATGAGGAAACTTCTGGTATTTACAGCATCCTAGAGAAAATGTTCTGTGGCTTCACCACCCATTATTGTATCATTCTTCATAATAAATGCTTTCTCTTTACTTTTTTGACCTTGACATGTTACAGTTTCATCTAACACCCTCTCACTTTTGAAAGATGTTGAACAGTTCTTTCCATGTTCACAATTGACATATCATGTTCATTCTGAGATTTTTTTATTCATTCTTATCCATCCTCATTTCTGTCCTTTGAGTTGGATTCTAGTTATTTGCCTATCCTACTCAAAAAAGCCATCTCATAACTTTATCTTCAGAGCTCCTGTGTTCCTTTTACTTTTTTCTGTATTTCCTTTCTAGTTTTTGATGCAGTTGCTTTCTTTTCCATCAACATTGCAAGATCTTTTGAGTAGCGATAGTTTGAAAACTAAGGATCACACTTTTGAGTTGTTCATATTTGTTTTCTTATGTAATGCTCTCGATCAGTTTGGTTCCAGTATATATATACATTTTTGAATGCTGCTATTTTGGATTGTAGGTCCTTTTTTGAACTATGCAATCAGTTCTTTTAGTGACCTGGGTGGTTTCGTATTAACAGGATATTTAGCATTTCACTGTGTGTCTCCATTATAAACCCAATTATGAGTAATTTTAAATGCTAAAGAACCAGCACAGATATATGTAATATTCTATTATGATGACCTTTCATTACAGTGAAAACTGACTGGATCTTTTAGTTTCTTTCCTGTGTTTCCATGAAATATTTATCCACGTGAACCTTCCCATTTACTCCCTTGGAAGTTAGTTTAGGAACATTTTTGGGACAACAACAAAAACTTCTTGGAAATCTGAGATTATAGTTAGATCTTCTTTCACACACTCACAGAGTTGGCTTTAAACAGTAGGAAGAAAGTCCTCAGTGCAATAACATCCATATTTTCTGAATATGATTTTATCCTCCGCTTTGGGACTTACTTGCCTTCTCAAAATTGAAGAGTTGTTGTCCTGACCTCCTGGAAACTATAGACTATATGCAAGGAAACTACATAAAACTAAATAGTTAAGTGTTGTCTTATTCTGTCTTTGTTTCTTTGTGGCATCCAGATCACCTCAAACTCCTTGGAAATCAGCCACTCTTTATAATTGCAAGCTTTGTTTTGTGAGTAGTTTTACTCAAGGGGAAGTGAAATTAGGTTAAAATTTTATTCCTCTGACAGTTGTCTTCTTATTGTCCATGTATGCTTTGCTGTGGCTCGTATTCTGTGCAAGCTCCTTGGGCTTCTGTGAGTGTCTGTGATCCCTCTGTGCTCCAAAATACCCAGAGGTTGACTGCACAGGAGAGAGAGCCTGGGGGTGCTTGCAGTCACCCACACGTTAAACATTTCAAATGTCACAGTAAAATAAAGATACTCTTGGGAAAAAATAAAATGAGAAAGCCCACTGAATGCTGACGTTTCAGCTGAAGTGACCTTTCCTCCTGGGCTGGAAAAGTAACTAAACCAGCAGTTCAAGCTTCTTGCAGTTGGCCTCCTTTGGATGTGGTGCCCTCTTGTGGAACAGAAGCATGGATGTGAACTGACAAGTCTCATCTCTCTACTTTGTTGCCTGATCGATAACATCTGTGCACAGCAGGACTGGGTGGCCATCTCGACTCGCTTTACATTTCTGCTATGCAGCTAAAATGGCTACAGATGTGGCACAGGCCTTCCTGGCACTGGGGCTGGGATCCCTGTGTTTCCTGTGTTCTGAAGTAATTAACATTTGTCTCAGCATCTTAATGGAACAAGTTCCACGAACCATCGTGCAGTTTCTCATGAAAACAAAGTGCCTTACAGTCATTTTACAAAGCTAAGCCTGAGTAATTTAATAAACTGAGTTAAATCTTTCCAAGAGAAATATAATAGACAAATGTTTCAATATCCTCATTGAATAGAAGCAAAGGATTTGGGTTTTTTTTTAGAGAAAATATATTGTCTTTAGAAGGGGTAGAATTCCTAGCAAATGTCTGGATATATCCTGGCCTCCATTTTCCTATCACTAAGAAGAGCCTACATTTATTTAAGTACTTCTATTGTTTTCTTTTTACATTAACAGTATGGAGCATATAAGTAGCTCTCTAAAAGTTCTTATCTATAGCCAAAATATTTCAGAATAAATTTTTGTTTTGAGTAGAATACACAAGAAAATGCTTTGAAAGTAAGCTGAAGTTGTGGAAAATTTGGAATTAGTTTTTCAAGTCATTGTATGTGTGGAGACTGATTACTTAAAAAAAAAGGTGGGGCAAGATGAAAGGACTTTTAATGTGAGTATCTGAGATAATATTCTGGAACTGCAGCCCTAAATATGATTATGTAGCAAATGAAACTTTACTTTTCTAATGAGTGTTTAGATGCTGATACCTGAATGGATTAAAAAAAATCGAGTTGCATCATTCAGTACAGGAGGTAATTTGCCAGTACACATTCCCTAAGGATTCCTTTTGGAAATTCTGATAATGAGATGTAGCTAAATGCAGACCATAATACTTTAAGAATATTTTAACTAGTTATACTTCAACCCCTGCTTTTTTTCCCTTCTAAGGTGTGCCTTATACCTAAATCTGCTCATGGTACAAATCCAGCAAGTGCACAAATGGCAGGGATGAAGATTCAGCCAATTGAAGTGGATAAAAATGGGAGCATTGATATCTCCCATTTAAAAGCAATGGTGAGTGTTTATTTAATTTTCAAGGTAGGAACACTCCTTCTCTGAAGGTAATAGTATTGGCAGCTGAATTATATTTTTCTTTGGGGGAAAATAGAGCAATAAAAATGTTTATGTGCTTGGAAATGGTACGTAATTATTTTTTTAATAATTTTTTTGCTGATTCAGGCAATAGCCATGTGGTACTTGTGAGATTTAATTTTAGGATCTTTGGTGCAGGAGTTGCTCAAAGAGTCTTTCTACACTCTTTTGTAACAGACCCTTTTGGTCCACATCTAGTAGTATAAACCATGTTTATGAATGTGAAGCATTTCAAACTGCAAAGTTGAAGTCCACCTCTGCTGGAGAAGGTGTTGCTAGGCAACCTGTTTTTGTTCTTTTTTTAGATTGGCCGCAGTTGAATCTTGGGTTACAAGGGATTAGCAGGACACATTTCCATATTTAAACAAACTTTTATAGTAGTTGTAGAACTGTATGGCTGAAACTAGGGGGAATGGCCATTACATCATGTTACCTTGAAGGTCAGATAGTTCCCTTGGGTTGTCTGGAGGTTCCAGAAGTGAATGTTTATCTCTATCTCTCTCTCTGTGCGTATGTATGCATACCTGCCTTCTTCCCTAATTTAAAATTACTTTGGTTATCTGCTGATAGAGTTGTTTACCACCTGTAAAACACCTGATGACTTCAGTTCTATTTTTTTGTAAAAATCTTGAGCTTTAGGAGCCTCAGTGACCTTTCTCTCCCTCTCCCGGCCACCAGGTGGACAAGCACAAAGAGAACTTGGCAGCCATCATGATCACATACCCTTCTACCAATGGTGTGTTTGAAGAGGAGATTGGAGACGTGTGTGACCTCATTCACAAACACGGAGGACAAGTTTACTTAGATGGAGCAAATATGAATGCTCAGGTACCAAAAATCTCCTAGGCAGATTTATTACAGCTGGGAGTCCTTGGAATAAAAAATAGCACAGCATTACTCAGTTTAGACCATAACACAGCTTCCTCACAAGGTGGCACAGTGCTTGGGGGAGGAGGTGAGGTTTGCAAGAACAGTGATAAAAATTAGATGGTGAAAGTAAGTATCTTATATTTGGCTTGCCCTGAAATGTGTTGAAAGGTGTATGAGTTGCTCATTGAAACTGGCTTAGTCTGCTTAACCTTTATCAAAGACATTCTTTGCAGACATAATTAAGAATTTCCTTAAGCAAAAAGTTGTTTGCATCAAGTTCTTTTTTTTTTGATGCACCACGATAAACATAAAAACATGCAATTTTTTTCAACACGCTTTCCTTGAATGCACTTAAATGGCATATGAAGGTTTTGAAACAAAGTATTCCCTTCACAGGTGGGTCTGTGTCGTCCTGGAGACTACGGCTCTGATGTCTCTCACTTAAATCTTCACAAAACCTTTTGCATTCCCCATGGAGGAGGAGGGCCTGGAATGGGACCAATTGGAGTGTGGGTATCTGTATATTAATAGCCTTCCCTTAAAGAAGTACGTATATATAAGCCTTAGTGAATCTTGGTTGGCGGTTTACTTCAGTACAGAGCTGCGAGTGGAAGAGAGGTACTGTTGTTTGTAAACTTACATCCTTCTCCAGCACAGTCACATGCTGACCTCATGAATAGTGATGTTCACTTGTGTTCTCAAACCCTGACTTCCATGTAGTCCTTTTAGTGTGCATGGTAGAGCTCCCTCACCAGTCCATTTCCTGAGTAAATGCAGAGATGGTCTGTGGAATTTGAGGGCTGATACTGTATGTAGTGCAGAACGCAGAAGTGGAACATGAGCTATGTGAATCTATTCTGTAGAACATTCATATTTCCTTAAAAGAAAATAATTTTGTTTCAAGAAAATAATTTTTATTTGGATAGCTCCATGAATATCTTGTGATAGGTAAAACTGAGTGCCATCCTCTGTTGGCACCAGTTATGTTAATAAACCTTGTTGAAGACATGGACCAGACTTCCTGGAGGACTGTCTGGAAGCAAGGTGACGAGAAACTACTGCTGAAACTGTCCAGATATGGTAACACAGGAACACTCATTTAAGTTCTATAATCAATGTTTTTGTTTTAGGAAGAAACATTTGGCTCCCTACTTGCCTACCCACCCTGTCATCAAAATACAGCCGGATAAGGATGCATGTTCTTTGGGTACTGTCAGTGCTGCACCTTGGGGTTCCAGTGCTATATTGCCAATTTCCTGGGTGTATATCAAGGTGTGTAGACTTTTATAAGGAGTTTCAGCTGAGGTTCTGTTTCTATTTCAAATGCCACTGGAACCAGATGAACAGGTTTAAGAGCAACTCATCTTAAGATGTTTGCACAGACAGAAATGCAGGTGACTACAGCACGGTCACAGATTATTTACATCCATCAAAACTCCTTGTTTTCTAGCAGGACAGTGGAACTGCCTATTGCCATCTTCAGCCACAGGAAAGGATGTTAGAACAAATGCCGTATGTCCAGCCTGGTTAACTCTTTTACCTCTTGTCTGTAATAATTTTTGAGACAAGTGGACACCAGGCAGAAAATAGCAATCAGGCTTGCCCTCCCACTTTTTCTGACATGGAAGTTTTCATGTTTGAAAGCTACGTGGTAACTACTGTTCTTCCAAGAATATTTCTATTTGTATACTGCAGTATTGTCATACTTGACATGTATGTAACTTTCCAATATCCCCCTTGTAATTTAGTGATAAGCCAGCAAATATTTGGTTGCAGATATGTAAGTATTTGGCCAAGAGAGATGAGTGTAGATTCAAATTCTGTTTGAGAGAAGGTGTGCTGGGACTCTAAGCAACATTTAAAGCTTTCAGTGACAGAAGGAACTGGGGAACAGTGAACATAGAGGCAGTGTCATTCAGGGTACTCTGTCACCAGTTTGATACTCTAACCATGGAATCTTTCTCTGCTGAGGAAACCAGCTCTCCCAGAATTCAAAATGAGCAAATATGAGCTGACACAACTTACCTGGTGGCTTTTCAGCTGTGGGTAAAAATCACTTGTGACTGTAAGCTGGTTCCCATTACAGAATATTTAAACTGCAGTAAATTTTTAAGAGAAGATGTTTCTTCACACTGCAAAATACCATCTATTTACACTGTAACATCTAAAGAGGTTACCTCGAAGGCTGTTTTGGCTTTCTCCTTTGTCACCTTAACTTCTAAGTGCAATGTTAAGAAATTCAATCAGTTCAGCATTGTCCTTTTGCAGTGATTTAACAGCGGAAATAATGCATCTGTATTCATTTGGCTCTGGTTTTTGTTCATACACAGTATCATCTGTGACATGACACTAGCAAGCAGAGTTTGAGTTGCTGGGATGATCTGTACAGACAGCACACATAGGTTTTTGGACAGCTCTCTAGACACTCTTTCCCATGGATGGTGACAGGCAGCCTGTGCCTTATGACATTGAGTTCTCACTTTTTTTTCTATTCACTTCAAAGCTTCACAGTTTGAGGAAAGGACATCAAGCTTAACCTCTTACACAGTAAACACTATCATAAGCTATGTATACCAAAGGTGCTCTCAGTTAATACCCAGAGCTTTCCTGTGAGTGTCGTGTGGAAAAATATAATTGCAGAGTGACTGCCTTAAACTAGCCAGATGCATCAAGGCGGTTTTCTATTGTGCTTGTCAGTGCAAGAGCACACTTAGCTTGCTTGGGAGTGGTTTTAGATCTGTTTCTTCATGTTATTCCTCTTTCAGACAATGGGAGCAAAGGGTCTGAAGCATGCTTCTGAGATTGCTATACTGAATGCAAACTACATGGCAAAGAGACTAGAGAAGCACTACAAAATCCTTTTCAAAGGAGCAAAAGGCAAGTATTAGTCAACTTTTTAAATCTACAAAGCTGACTTTATTTTTTGCCTCATGTAGAAGTTGACTTGCAGTATGGTTCTTTTTTAATGCTATGTGACAGCTGCATCTCAACTTCTCTTGATGTCACAAGAAGTGAAATAACCTGCCACACTTCTTTCGTGGACATACTGCAATGAAACTGAGACACCTGGAAGTAGGAGGAAAAAATGCCTGCTTGTAATTAGATGAAATGATGACAAAAGATGGAGTAAACCATCAGATTGTTCTCCTTTAAATATAATGGCAGACTAATGAACAGTAGGAAAAGGAGAAGCCATCAAATTGAAATCCAATTCCCCCCTAACTAATGGCACTACAGTTTAAGAACTGGAAACAATTTTTGGACCTGCACTTTCCCTTGCACACTTTCTCTAAAATAATATTTCACCAAATTTCCCTCATTTCAGCTCCTAGTTCATTTCTGTGAGATGGGACAGAATCTCCTTGGCAATGCAAGGCACTTTAGCTATATTCTGGTTCCCTGTAATGGCTCTTCAGTCTTGCAGCAGGACAGAAGTAATGAATAAGAGGTGAAACAATTATCTGTAAAGCAGAGTTAACTATCAGAGCATGTTATTTTGCTTCTTCAAGCTGAAGAACACTGAGGAACATTTGAGTACAATATGTATGTTCTTTAAAATATGTCTTATATTTAATGGTGTACACGTTGGCTCAATCTGCAGGCTGCACTTCAACAGAAGATATTATTTCCTCACAGAAGCGAATGAAGTTGCAAATTTTGAAGGATTCAGCAGTGAAATGAAATAGGGTTCTCCAGGATCATGGATATAAATTTAGATAACTTTTGACTTTAGCCTATTTTTACAACACAATATTTGAACTTTCTCTGGCATAAGATAAAACTGTATATAAGATAAAACACTCAAATGGTGCTGAGTCATTGACAAATCCAGTTGTTTTTCAGAGTACTTGCAAGTTGTAGGAGCTACTTTGACCACTCATTCCTGGTTCTGATCTTGTAAATCAGGCCTCTACTTAACGTGACATGGGCCCCAAAGAGCCAGCCTTCACATAACGAATTGTGTATCTCTTACCTGGTAATTTCTCAGGTTTGAGTTTTTGCCCAAGTGGATAGATTTGAATTTGTCTTTTTGCCGTGTTTTACACAAAAATCAACCAGAGTAGACTTGGTAGATGGCAGTGTTCTCCTAGTGAGTAAACACAGTGTATACTTTTTTTAATTTACAGGTTATGTAGCCCATGAATTCATTTTGGATACAAGACCTTTCAAAAAAACAGCAAACATTGAAGCTGTAGATCTTGCTAAGAGGCTTCAGGATTATGGTAAGTCAAGTGTCTATTTGTTAAAATAGCAGATGTAAGTGAAGATTTTCTAAATCTCTTCTAAAGGGAGACAGAAACGTTCTAGTTCTGTGCTTACAGACAGTGAATCTGCGCAGTCATTTCAGGCCACCTCATCTTCTTCAAGGGCTTGGAGAGAAATTTGCATCAACTGAGTTGTAGTAGCTACTTATGACTCTGCTGCTGCCTCACAGTTTTGTAAACTGCCCCCTCAATTACTGATTACATGACTCTGAACCATTTGGAGCAAGTGGGTTGGAGCCATGACAAGAATGGAATCTTAATAAGATTCCAAGAAAATGAAAAAAAAAATATTAAGAAAAAAATAAAGAAATACAGTTGAAGAAGGATAATAGGATTTAATATATATTTATTAATATATATTTATCCTATATTTAAAAATAAAGGATTCCGTCCTGATAATAGTTTTGTGCAGTTTTGTATACATGCTCTGAAGAATCTGATAGTGGATTCTCTTTGGCTTCCAGACAAGAGGACCCATTGAACTGCTTGATCCTGTGGAACTGTGCTTCTAATGAATATGCATGAAAGCTTTTAAAACCCTAACCAGTAATACCCCTTCAATTAAATAATACAAAGCCTAGCTGTGACACTAAAAAAACGACCCTTCCTGCTCTTTGAAAGTGAGCTTCAAATAGCATGCAACACTTTAAACAGACTTTCCAATAGGTACAGACCTACCAGGGATAAGTATAGTAAATTTCCATCCTCTGCAGCCAAAAGTGTCACAAAACTGTACTTACAGGGCAGGCAGGGAATCTTGAGAGACCACCTTTTCTTTTACCTGGTTTACCAGTGGAGAAACCTATACCTGTCTCATGTGGCCATTCAGCCTGTCCTAAGGAAGAACACCTCTACTGAAGTGAGCAGTAACACAAATAACCCGAGAAAGATGCAATATACTTTGGGCTGAACAGTAACAAAGCAAAAAAGAGCAGATTTTAAAAGTACTTCATTAAATCAGTGTGTAACTCTACTGTAAATAATACAGTGGTGTTACCCTTCAATGTTAAAAACTAAGATGCTTAAAAGTCTGTCTTATTTCTACAGTACACTGCCAGCACTGCCCAGGAGTTCTGTCCTGTAAAGATTATTGTACAGAAAGGGCTGAATTTGTGAACCAGCTGATAGCTAATTATCTAATATATATTATGCATATAATATATATTATGCATATCTTATCTCATAAGCTATTGTCAGTGACTGATTTCCTCTATTGTCATCAGGTTTTCATGCTCCAACCATGTCCTGGCCAGTGGCAGGGACACTTATGATTGAACCAACAGAGTCTGAAGACAAAGGAGAACTGGACAGATTTTGTGATGCAATGATCAGTATTCGGCAAGAAATTGCTGAAATAGAGGCAGGCAGGATGGACCCCCAAATTAACCCACTAAAGGTAAGATGGCATGAGAGCAAGTTACCAGCATCAGCTTAACCCTGGAGACTTCTCTGAGACTACGTAAGCCTGCTTCCTGGTCTTTCAGTCTTTTCACTGTCAAAAACAACTTTGTGCAACAGTGAGCACAAGAATTTTTAGAAACCTTCGACTTTTTCAAAATCTGAATTTTGACTTTTTCAAGTTAGAAGTCTGACCTTTACTGACAGAGCAGAGAAAGTCCAGCATGTAATCTATATTTCAAAGCCACCTCAAAGCAATGAAGGAGAGATGCTTATTTATCTGTGTTAAGAGAGGAAGTGGAAAGACCTTAACATTAAGAATAAAATAAAGATTGAATTAATTATTTTAGCAGCAGCAGCACAGAACTGCTCTTGGCTCAAGTTCTGTTCAAGTATTGCAATGCTGCACTGACTTTTAGATACTGAGGGAATTTAGTGAATAGCCAGAAGTATATTCAAACTTTGGAAAGTATCTTCAGGCAAACTGAAAAAAACTCCAAATACCGACTTGCCTCCCGGTTTAGACCTGCCTTTTCTCCTGCAGAGAAACAGAGTTCTCAAGAGACTCTTAGGACAGTAGTTATTTTCATGTAGTAATGTGAACTTTAAAGAGGGTTCACACTGATATATTAAGTAATTTCATGTCATAAATGTGTCTTTTTCCTTGTAGATGTCACCACATACTCTGAACTGTGTCACTTCTTCCAAGTGGGATCGTCCCTATTCCAGAGAAGTGGCAGCATTCCCACTGGTGAGTAAATAATGGGAACCTGGGGTTGTGGTAATACATAAATATGCTTTGTGCTCTGTAGTTTTTTAGTCAGTTGGAGATGAAGTAATGTGGTAAAAATAAAAACTCGAGAGCAGTTTTTGCAGTTGCTCAGGTTTTATGTGTGTGTGAGCTCTGCTGCAATTCCATTAGTTTTGTTTTTAAAGACAAGGAAAGATCTCTAAAAGAGTCTCTAAAGTGCAAACTTGGATTTTTAAATCTTAGCAGTTAAACAATGGGCATTTATTCCTATTGGAAAGAGCCTGTTGAGTTCTGACATACTGCAGCAGGGGCTCCCAGAACACAGTTCCATGTGCTGACATTCAAAGCTCTGCTCAAAAGAACTTGGCTAAGGGGGTGACAAGATGCCCCATGGTCAGCATGGGGCAAGCCACATCCATGCAGGCCTGCTACAAATAAAGGTCACATTGAAGCGAGACTCATCAGACTTCTTAATTGCTACCAGGGCTGTAACAGGTAAACCTGTAACTAGCCCTTCTCATCTGAAACTGAATTGCAACTATTTTATTGCTACATATTGTTTCAAAGAGTAGGAGTTCAACTGCACCTTTAAAGGTGCAGTTGCCACTATGCTTTATATATTGTATTGTAACTATATACTGAACAGCACAGTAGTCTCCTCCACTTTTCCTTGGTTCCTGTCTGTAAGCCAGTTATTCAAAGGATAATAAAGTTTTCTTTTATCCCATGAAAACTTCTTTTCTGCAAGCATTTCTTAGAGGACATGGCTACACCTTTTTAAAAATCTAAACATTCTAACATGCCTGCCACCTCTATCATATATGCTTGTTAATTTTGAGGGCCTGCAAATAACTGTGAAAAATTACTTTAAAAATCCACTTTTCCTGCATTCGTAATTCTTAAAACTTCTAATTTTCTTGGTAGAAAAATTAAGATTTTTTTTTTTTTTTTAATCTCTCTTAGCCATTTGTGAAGCCTGAAAGCAAGTTTTGGCCCACAATTGCTCGCATTGATGATATATATGGGGATCAACATCTGGTTTGTACCTGCCCACCCATGGAAGCCTATGAATCTCCATTTTCTGAACAGAAGAGAGCATCTTCTTAAGACTGATTCCAGCTGCCTACATTTCTGACTCCATCAGGATGGCCTTTTCCTGATTTCCTGGGGATATGTATACTGTGTATATTTTGGATAATCACCACGTTTGTTAATTGAATCACTGCACAGTTAAAATGTAAATACAATCAGTATGTTAGGTGTGAACAAAATGTGACTGTTTCTCAGTAGTTGATGTTGAAGTTACCTTGATTCAGCCTTTTGTCTGTTTAGTACTAAAGTTTTGACAATTAACACCCAATTTGCAAAGTGGTATGGAAGATATGGTTAAAAAGTAGAAAAGACAGATGCAGATACATAAGGCAATACTAATGAACATTAACTGCAGGAGTAATTGTTTACATTTTTTTTAAAAAAATGATGAAGTAGGTTTTTAATTTACTTCACGTATTACTACTAGCATTGCAAGGGTTAATATTTCATACTGATTTTTTTATCTATCAGTATTAGTAGTCTAATAAAACTGGTAAGAATTTTAAGTGTTGTCATGTTTTGGATGTGAACTTTTCAGCTGGATTTGTCCAGCAGAGCAGTATGAAATTATGAAGTTTAAGTTCTTATTTGTGAGAACTGCCACAGCAGTAACAGCTTCTACACAAAGGAAAACAGAAAGATTATTATTTCAACAAATCAGAGCTTATTATTTCAACAAATCTCTGATTTTTTCAATGGGCTAGAATGATCCATTTTACCAAACAGTAACAAACTTAATATTTTTCTGTATCACGTCAATTTTTCCATGTGGTTCCATGCAGTCCTTTCTTATTCTGGAGAAGGCATGAAAGACCTTGTTAAACCACCTGTAAACTGCTTAGTATGACTTAGATCTTGGGTAACACAAAGCAGGAATTTTGGTGGATGAGGAAACAGATACTGGGGTAACATTTGGACCGTGGAAAGGAAGGCACAGTTTTGCACCTTACAACCATCCACTACTCAACCTCTTCTTGAAGGTCCACGTGCATTCACGCCTGGGAACTCTTTCTGAAGTGACACAAATGAAGCTCGTGGTCACAGCACTGCTGAAAGTGCTGTGTTTTTGTGTCCTTTAAGTGAAAGTCTGGGAACTGCAACTTATGCATTACCTACCCTCTGACTTTAATTACACAGAGACTGCAGATGACAGGAAGGTTTAGGAAGATTAGGCCAGATACCAGTTTTGATGTGAGAAGCTGCACCTACATCCTAAACCACCTCAATACATAGCGAAAACCAGAATTTTATACCCTAAAATTTACTACTGAAAAGAGTGTCTTTCTGTATATATTGATATAGCACTAAGGACATAAAAAATCAAGAAAAATACACTGCAAACTTGTAATGTGAGGAAAGGACAGTCTTTCTCTGTTGCCAATCTAACTACACAGTCTTGTCAAGCTACTTCAGTTTCGTGTTGCTCGATTACATCTGTCATTGGAAAGATATAAGAAAAACTTGGTTTACATATTTTTTTATCAAGCAGATAACTTCCCGTTGTTGACCTCAAACTGACAAATTTATCTCATCAATTAATTGGTAAAAACTATCAAATGGAAAACAAAGCATTAAAATATTTCACAACACTTCAACTAAAAAGTGACAAGCCACAAGTCTGATGTGCTTACTGCACAGATGCAATGGCTTTGACAAATAAAATTACATCTGTTTTTCCCAGCAAACACTGAGCTCTACCTGTAGCACTGCTGTGGTTACAAGCTGTCAGTGCAACCTCAAAGCCAACAGTGGGAATCTGCTTTATCACCACACCTCCCAGCTGCACAGAGCTGGCTCTGGCAGCAAGTGCTGGCTCCCTCTGTTACATGAGCAGAGCACTAAAAAGCTCCCACTGCTATAGAGTATGAGTGAGTTCCTGGATATCAATGTCAGGTCGGTTTTTGGTTTGGGGTTGTTTTTGTGTTTTGGTTTTTACTTTGCTTTTTAATTAAGTGTTCTTTTCATTGAGTTGAATATAAAGCCTCATGTTTGAAAAATAAGAAGGCTGCCTAAAGAAAGTGTTTTGTAATCTGAAAAATAAATTCTGTAGAAACCTCATGACTCAATTAAGCAGATAATAGTAAAAGCAAAATTAGCAACTTTTCTGAATCATAAAATATTTAATAGGGTATATTTTTGGGAGGGATATATTGTATATAAAATTTCAGATCACAATATGAAGCAATTTGAACCTTCTCCAAGCTAGCACTGCCTTTAATGCTGTGTAGATGTACTGCCACTAATACAAGACCTACTAAAAGCATACAGTTTAACTAATACAGAAGTGGCTTTTTTATATGAACTATTTTTTACACAACTAGAGTGTCTTGAATACCCTCTTTTAAGTGCAAAAAACACAGATCACTTTACACTAATGCAGCAACAATGCATTCATATTGTTCTCATTAGTCATTAGTAGTCAACTTGCATAAGATACAAGAAAAGCACAATGAAGCTCACAAAAATAGACTAAAAATCAGCCTGTTCTTGCAAAAAAATACAGCATAATAGAAGAAAAAGACAAAAAAGGGATTATGCACACCACAGAATTTGCTGTTATTTAATCCAAATGGCTTAAGTGCTGATTCTGTTTCTTTTTTCTGTTTTTTTTTTGTGGGGGAGGGGTTGTGGGTTTTTCTTTTGGTTTGGGTTTTGTTATTGGATTGGTTTTTTTGTAAATCAAACCACATGGACCAGGCACAACTAAGATTTAGGAGGCAGTGTATAGCTAAAACATCACTAACTTTTTTTTTATCCCCAACATTGTTTAACACAATTTATTTTCCTCTGTCCTGAGGTAGTTACAAAAAAACAAATCATAAATTAAGCATCAGCTAGGCCAGTAAGAGCTGATGCTTTCCTTTTTCTTTTTTTTTTCTTTTCTTTAAAAACTATCTGTTAACTGGCCAAAACTACGGCTGATGTTAAAAGATAGCTGAGAATTAGAGTTCTCACAACACCAGAAAATGGCTATGAGGGGAAGAGGGTTAGCTGCTTCAAAATGTGACAATGTATTGAGTCCCATCAGCCTGGCTGGTCCACTGCTGTATTTCCCATGTTTATTCTCCTTTACTGTCTATAGTCACTGGGAGAAGTACAGAAGGATCTGAGCACATCATCGTCCTTTACTGTAACCAGGAAAGAACTGGTCCAGCAGTGTCTGCAGGATCTTGTTGGGGACCATAGTGTAGCCCTTTCCCAGGTCATAGCGGCAGGCAGGGCAGGTGAAGACTTCAGCTCTGAAGGAGCGCTGTAAACAACTCTAAGACATACAAAGACAGAGAAATAAATTGTGAGAATTTTGTTTTAGACCAACAGTTTAACCAGCAGAAACAGAGGAATCGCTATTAATGAAAATCTGCTGTACTACAAGAAAAAGAGAAGTCATTGCCAAGCCCTTTGGTGCCTGACTCTGCCTCTATGACAGAAGTGTCCTAGCAAAGGAACTATTCTCTGTCCCAGGATGTGAAACACTGAGCTCGGGAGGAATTAACACAAATCACAACTGAGGTTCCCCCTTCATTTCCAAAAGTGCCTTCCCGTGATTCACAGCTGATTTTCAGCTTCCTTACAGCTTGCTTCACAGATTGCTACAGTTTTCCAGACTTTCATTTCAAGAGGAAGGTGAACATACAAGGTATACTGTTTATGTAAAAATCTCCATCTACCTCATCAGAACAGTTTCAGTTAAGCCTTACACATATATGTAGGATAATAGAATCCCTAACACATTAGCATCTGTCATCCTTACTTACCGCTGAGTGCTGACAGCCTGAGCATGTGAGCTGAGAATCAGTAATTTATCAGACAGATCTGTGCCCAAACAGCAATAGCAGCTTACTATCAAACTATTCCTTACAACTATAACTGCATGTTATACTGTATTCACGAATATTTACTGACATCTTCAAATGCTGTGCTTTGTTGCTATGTAGCTTTTTGTTCTTTTTTTCCCCATGGTTTTCCAATTTCCATAATCCTAAATTTTAATTCCTTCAAAATACTTCTTATGTTTTTTAAGGAGACATAATCATTCCATGTGTGCAGGCCATGCAAAACAACACCAAGATTTTTACTGGAGTGATACATACCTTCTCGAATAGCAAACTTGCATTATCAAATACTGTACTAAGATGATAACAGTCTGAGTTCTTTCAGGCTCTCAGGTTGAAATACTAGGTATGGCAGGTACCATTCAAATATGCACAATTCAGCAAATGATTCTGTACCCACCAGTGCTACAAAAACTAACTCTAGTGCAAATTTGACTCCAAACTCCCTACATCATATCCAACTGAGCAAGATTTTAAGACACATGAGTAATGAATTGACTTCTGTGGCCTTCCTATCAAACATAACCAATGCCAAGAATAACAAGATAATTTTCTCTGAATAAATCCACATAATTTGCCTGTATTTACCCTGCATCCTTTCACAACTTTTAGTAAGAGAGTTATACAATTATAAAATTTGATCTTATTCCTTAATTATGTAAAATTAAATTATTGATACTGTGCCAACATCTAACCACTAGGTCAAACCAATTCCTAGTATGCTCCACTGACTGCAAAAGTGTGACAGTAATGGTAAACCTCACTCATTATGTCTATCAGGAACTATGTGAAACAGACTTCCACTGTTTATTACAAAGAATAAAGTCTACATAGGAAACACTGAATGGAAACTTGTTGCATGTTTTTGCTCAGAACGTTAGGCAATTATTACTGTTTCTCTAAAAAGCATATGGTTTTGGTGACTGGTGTCTCAGAGCCAAGAAAACAGCCCAGAGCAAGGCAGAGTTTTATTCTTACTTTACAGACGTTGTGGAGGCACTCTGTTGTCACCGGCTGGTAAACCAGCTCCTGGCAGCAGACACACATAAAGGATTGTTCCAGTTTCTTCAGAAAATTCTAATGTAGGGCAAAGGAATAAAAGAGACAAACTCCATTACAGTTCTCATAAATGCCACTTCTTACATAAAGATGATGAACTTCCAGAAGTTCTTAGGTCCTTTATGAGCACAGCTTTCTGAAAGTAATCAGGAATTGGGTCTTTAATTGCTTAATTTCCCTGCTTTTTTAAAAATGGAAGATTCATATAATCGTAGAATGGTTTGGATTGGAAGGGACCTTAAACAACACCTATTCCAACCCCTCCGCTAGACGAGGTTGCTCAGGGTACCACCCAGCCTGGTCTTCAAAACATCCAGGGATGGGGGACCCACAACTTCTCTGGGCAACCTGTCATAAAATTATTTTCTGCCTAAATAAAAAGTAGTGACTATAACCATCTTTCTTCACATCTCATTTCTGACATCAGCATAACATAAAAATACATTTGTCATTTCAGAGAAAGCACGCTCTCTTCAAAAATGAAAAAAAAAAAGCTACTTTTAACTTCAAAATGTTTTTTCAGCAAGAAAATATCTCTGTTATGCAGGCATAAACTGATAAATAGCAAATGGCACAAGTGAGGCTTCTTTTCTTGAAATGTAAGCATGAGTAAG